TTCCCAATTTGTCTGGCATGGAGGTTTAGATTTTTGTTTAACATTCAGGAAGATGCCGGTTCGATTCCGAATCCGTCTGCCTTGGTCCAAGTTTTTCTGTGGTTTCCTTGAATCACTTAAGCAAATGCTGGGGCAGTAATATTCCATAGATAATCTTTCATTCTCTTCTGTCTTCATTTCGTCTGCCTCATATTTCTCACCCGAACCACCACCTACCCATTCCCACGATTTCTGAAAGGAGGCTGTAAAGGGCCTTCCGCCCTACCTTCCGGCGTAGTCCGAAGAGTCTGTCCGTTCACCAGTATTAATGACTAGAGGGAATGAAACACCCGAAAGTTGTAAGATTTTTTTTACCAATTTGTCACCCACTGCGTTACCTGCCTTTGAATATGATTAACTTAATTAGTGGCCAAACGAAAACATTTTAAATTTCTATGTGTGTAGATGCATTACAAACTAGTGTTATTTATTAGTAATTTAGAAAAATTTCCAAAACGGAATTCTATTATCTTCGTTTGTGTAATGATCATGACGCATTTTTGAACTAAATTATATATCATTTTTTATAATGTCTATGCAAAGCTGAAGTATGTACCTACATATTTTGATATTTCGATATTTTGCAAACAGTCTTTATTTTGTTTATAATTGAATGTTATGTAGTCATGCATACCTAGATGATTACCGTCTTTTATTACTCCTAAATTAAAGTAATTATGCGTATGTCTTATGGACTTTGTCAATGTCGTCATGTTTTCTGATTTGCAGCTACAAATTTATCGGCTCAATTAATAAACAACTCTATGTAATTTTTGCCATAACGACGATACTTTGGAAAGCTTATATATCATATTCAGAATAAACTGAAAAATGCATTTATCTCTCAACTAAAACTTTAAATGAAACAATCAATCCGTTTAAAAGAATAGCGTGTCAGTCAGAGAAGAAATGAAACTTTTTTTATGGAATGTGGAGAATGGAAAAAATACTTTAATGTGGATAATATTTGTTCATAACTTAACACTGAAATAAATAATTATGAAAATGTGTAATATCTCGAAGTAAATATATGAAATCCTATGACATTGTTAGTACTTAATAGTGGATTAATATGCAATATTATTTTGAAATCATTTTTTCGATTTTTTATTTACCCGCTACAAACTACCTCAAATTAATGAGGGAAAATTTTTGTTGTTGTCACACCCCCGCCTGGAATCGAACCCGCGACCTTTGGCTTTACGCACCAATGTTCTACCACTAAACTACGAGAGGTGACAACAGTAACCACGACCAACCGACCTACAAGGTTAACGATCCGTCGATTTTTATTAACTTAATCATATATACACATATTAAATATATGAAATCCTGTGACATTGTCTGTTACCTAATAGTGGATTAATATGCAATATTAATTTGAAATCATTTTTTCGATTTTTTATTTACCCACTACAAACTACATCAAATTAATGAGGGAGTTCGATTCCCGGCTGGGGTGTGACAACAGCAACAATTTTTCCCTCATTAATTTGAGGTAGTTCGTAGTGGGTAAATAAAAATCGAAAAAATGATTTCAAATTAATATTGCATCTCGAAGTAAGTACGAACTATAGACGTTTCNCAAAAATAAATTATATCAGAACAAAACCATAATTAATCTAAAAATGGGGTCAAGTTCGGAACAACCGACGTTTCGGTGTCAAGTTCCAACAAGAACATGAAACAGGATTGTTCAATTCATCGATTGATTTAAAAGGGAATTTGTTACGTTCTTTGATATAAATTGTTAATTATGCATAGATATTAGAAACAGAAACAGGAATAAAGAGGAGTATCGATATGCCCAAGCTAGGTCACTGTTTACAAATAATTAGGGATGTGGGGTGTTTTTGGGAAAAGCAAAAAAGACTGAATGTGCGTTTCCAAGCCCAACGTTCAGAAGTCTTTGAACTGTCGGTGCTATGATAATAGTAAATTGTTTGTAGCATAAAATTTAACACCTAAATTTCACGATAATTTCATCACTGTAAACGTAATTTATTAATCATTAAAACTTGCCAAGTGGTTGCTTCAATGTCAAAGAACTTCAAATTTTGTTAGTTCTTGTTGTAAGTTTTCACATTTTTATTTTTGTATGCGGCCGATCTCTATCTCTTTTGAGAATTGAAGTACAGTTATCCTTGCTTTCAATACATCACATCATGAATAGTGAAGACACGGCTGATTCAAGCCAGTTACAATATACTACGGTTATAGAAAAACGCTGGATTTCCATAAGACTCATCATCTTTTTTTATGTTTATTACATGATTTAGCACCTTTTGCTTCATTCGTGGAATCTACATTTACCTGCTAATTTATTTCATTGCAATTCCACAATTTACGTAAGAATATTTCAGTGTAAAAATGGTATTCTTATCCTGCTTTTATTTAGTGTTGTCTTTTGATTGAATAGAACTGGTTAATTATTCATTAATATTTTGTAACTATGTTACGATTAGGCGTCCCTGTTACATATAATTTCAAATGCAAATAAAACAATAGAAAGCCGGAATTACCTATTGATACGTATTCATATTCAGATATGAATTTCCGCTTTTATAACTAAGTAACGAATTGAACATTCATCAATATATATAAAAACATGTGCGTGCCAATCAGTGGCGTAGTTAGCCTATATTGGGTATATCAATTTTTTTTATAAGAGATCGTTTGGACACTGGACTTCCCCGTAACACATTTTTATCCACGTGGTTTTTGGCACAGGAAAGGGACATCACCCTATGGATTTCTTATTTGTAAAAAGTGTACAACTTTAGATCACTGTGACTTATGAGTTTCCAAAAACATATTACCTAATTTTGTTAGGTACTTCCCAGTGACGAGCAACGAAAATGGTTGTGATATAGTTAACTCATAAAATTTTACATCATGTTCTTTATTTCTCGTAGCAGGTTTAGATAAGGATAAAACTTTTCGTTTCTTTGCTCAAGCATGTTGAGGTTCCTCTATCTCGAGAGTCCTGTAGCTTAAAAAATTTTTGGGTGTTTCATTAATGCTGGTGGGCGATCAGTCCCTTGGGATTACGTCGGAGAATAGGGCGGAAAACCCCCGTCAATCTCCTTTAGAGATCGTGGTAACGGTTAGGTGATGATGGTTGGGGTGAAGACTGATGAGACGGATAAAATGAAGACGAAAGAGTGTAGGATATTATTACTGTCCCAGCATTTTCCTAAGTTAAGTACGATAGGTTCAATAGCCTTACATAAGTTTTAAGATACAAAATGTATTTGTACTGTCTTCCCAATGACACTAACCTAACCAACACCTGAACAACGAGAAACTCGTTGATGATGGAGAGGGATGTAAGGGCGTGGCTGGGAAGTGAACCTACTGTATAGAATCTTTATATTTTGCATTAGTGACCCGAGGAAACCACCACCGAGCGGCGTGGTCTAGATATTTAGCATTCGGAAGGACGCCGGTTCGATTCGAGCCTGTCTACCTTGGTCAAAATTTTTCTATGCTTTCCTTGGATCATTTAGACAAATGCCGGGACAGTGATATTCCACAGATAATCTTTCATTCTCTTCTGTCTTCATTTCGTCCGTCTCAACTTTTCTTTCCTGAAAGCAGGCTGAAGAGGGCCTTCAACCCTACCTTCCGGCATAATCCGGAGGGATTGCCTGTCCACCAGCATTAGTGGCTGGTGGGAATGAAACAGCCAAAAGTTTGTTTTTTTTTTGAAGAAAACTTTTGGACCTGGACAGACGTACCCGGAATCGAACCGGTCTCCTCGCGAACGCTGAGCAATGATCTAAAACTCTAGGTCTCGATTCTATATCATTGTTACTACTAATAATACTACGGAAGCTACGCCTCTGAAGCCAATGCTTTGTATCATTGTTACAACTAATAACACTAGGGAAGCTACGCCTCTGAAGCCAATGCTTTGTGTCTATTTTAGAAAGATAACTGATAAATGCACATTGTAAATACATTTCTTTGCGGGGTCATAAATGATAAGTGTAAACATAATTTTTAATAAAACTAGCAATAAGAATAATGTGATAGATAAATAACATCACGGTGTAGAATATAAATAAACTTCTACAATACGTTCGCACAAAAACCCATCTATCGTTGCAGCAAAAAAAAGTGGAAATTTAGGTAATAACCTTGAGTGTTGAATGGTGTACGTAACAGTTTGAACACAGAATGATGTTATCAACAATATTTATTATATACAATAATACTGCCCAAATACGTAAATGAACATAATATTATTTATTATTTAAGCGTTTGTTTGACCTATTTTGAAACTATCCAGCAGGGTTTTATCAAAATTTTGCAGTAGCAACAAATAATAATGACTACTGATAAGGAAATGTATGCGTCATATGATTTGATATACCTAAACAAAGAAAGTAACTTTCTTGCAGCGTAAAATCAACCAAATTTTCCAAAACACTTTAACCTAATGTCCTTTGTAAACTCTTAAAAATCACAATCAATTCTTTCATTCAATGTTCCAAACAACAAAACACTACTGAGTTAATAGCTTTATGTTGTTAATTTTTAAGTGCAAACAATCGTTAATGTTGTAGTAAAACAGGAATTTACATGAGATAATGAAGCTAAAGGCTATTTGTAGGTATTTCTAAAGTTTTTTTTTTGTATTTACTAATTGTTAAAGTTGTTGTTACCGTACATCAAAAGATAATAAGTACACGAGTTTGAAATGCTACATTGTTGTATTTACACAATGATGTTGCAATCAAAATTTAGGATACCTAAGTACCAGAAGCCATAAGTCCATATTGTCTACAATACCAACAAATTCATTTCTTTAATATTGAAATATTTTCGTCAAATTTGAAGACATTATTAGGCATCCAATACAGATTACAGTTTCTTTTTAAGATGAACAAAAAAGGCACCATTCGTGAAGTCATCAAACAGGTTTTGATAGTCTGCATAATTACGATGATTCTTACCTTTCTTGATGTATCCCGATCTAGCAGTGAATTTAATATTTTCGAATTGTATATCGACGTAAACGTCAACGGAGAGTTTTTTGCAACTTAACACTTCTTCATTGGGGGATTTTTTCACACTTTCGTGGTCCCGTTCTTTGTAGAATGCGCGTTCACTTTTTCGTTCACTTTCGTGCTGTTTAGTGTGACGATCTGCATTTTGAGATGCTTCATGCAGTACAACTTCCATCGTGTTACTGAAGAACAAACAGCACCACCAGTTCCGCAAGTACTCTGTACCTCATATAATTCCGACAAAACCGCACACAAATACCAGTGCACAACAATCTGTAAATGCGATCCTGAAACGTTGCTTTATCAGTAGCTAACACTCGAACATTTAAGTCGTTTTAAACATTTTAAAACGAGAATCGGCTACTTATACTTATATAGATTCCTAGGATCGAGTTTGATTTTGTAACGACTAAAGTCCATAATTGACTATAGTGTTTGCTTGTTTTCATTATTATAATGATGACACTCCGATTGTAATTCGCGCACTGTTTTTGATACGGTCACCATTTTTATTTTATACGATTTCTGTATTTTTTTTTTAAATATTTAAACAACAATCATTTATATTGACTTTGTTAGTGGTAGTCGACACGCTAATACAATGTCTGCAATTCGACAAATGAAAGCCGTTGAACTTGACCACAATTTTTGAAAAGTACTAAAGTTACTTTGTTTACTGACTGAACTTCTACGTACAGTAATTATTACTCAATTGAACACTGATATTTATTAAAAAAGGATCTTTTTTATAAACAGGTGGTGCCTACCAATATTTACGTGTAGTTGTTCAGTTATTTTTTCTGATTTTTAACTGCCTTGTTTTCAAAACTTTTCAGCAAACGTTTTCCTAGACACTTAGTCGACACATTATGTTTAGGAACAATTAATAATTATCCAGTATTTATAACGTATCACGTTTTAATTATATGGGAGTATTTGGGATGCCGAGTCTTTTTTACCATTATCCCTGAAGCACTGCATCTTATCAGAATATGTCAAATATTTTAAAGTGGACTAGTTTGTGTTTTCTTTTCACAAATAAATTATAACTTCTAAATATTTCCCAAAATGTTTTCATGAAGATCCTATAAAATTTCCAATAGTTTAACTCTTCAACTTCAACTTAGTACCCAATAAATTGAGGAATCACGATAAGATTAAAAACTTGGTGTGCAATTCTATGAATCAGTTCTTACTATAATTTTAGATAATAAACCATGTCTTGTACTTATAAAAAAATACATTATGCACTTTATGAGTCAATGTAATGAAAAATCCGAGAAATTCTGCTAAAGTTCAGCGGTGAGTATATTTGGGTTAACTATTCATTGATAGACATTTTGTTTCTGATTGAGCTTCGTACATATGTGTATAGGTAGTTTTGGTAAAAACATGCTCTATGTTACGAAAATGGACATGTGAAGGCTGCAAAATTTGATAAAATTTATTGTACTTTGTTATTAGAAACATTATCAAAGAAGTAGGCGGTATATAGCGTTTCATCAATGGAAACAAAGGATTCGATAGGCGCAATTGTTACAAAGGTCTTTTAGTCTATTTGCTCCGTTTCTTACATTATTTGCATAAAAACCGACCTTTGTTATTGTACTCAAATCTACCGTTGAGTACGAAAAATCTATTACGTAAGCATCACAGTCCAAAGATCGTTTTGCAATCAAAAATGTTTGCTTCCTTTTTAGGATAAAATTGATAACATATCTAAAATTTTTCGATAAAACATTCCCGTATTTGTTTGATCACCAGTACGGTAAGTACATAGGTGTATATAAAAAATTAAGTATACTTAATACATCTACCGATTCCAGAATGAATTGTCGTTCTTGTTCAAATTTAGGAAGAATGGCATTTTAAACTAAATCGCAGTCACACCTTTTGTTATACTTTATTAGGTGTTCTTTTAGAAAATGGAAGAACTGAATGTAATTCAATTGGGCGCTGAATACAGGTAGTGTTTGAAAATGCCCTCTAGTTGGGCACTCAACGAAGATCAAGGTTTTCTTAAATATCACCAAACAGGGTTTTGATAAACCTACGTATACAATAACTCTTGTAGTGTGGTCAACCTGCCCACTGTACTCGACTAAAAAGGTTCTATGATTAGTCACTAACGGACCTCTTATCTAACAAAATCCTCTAAAAAGCTAGTATGTTTCAATCCTATGAAACACTGCTGAAGTGGGTGGCCCTCCCACTGATCTACACTGTGATGCAAAACGATGAGTAAGACGGAAAGCTCCCTTCAACCCTATTTAAGGCCGGGAAAACCTTTCCCAATTTGTCTGGCATGGAGGTTTAGATTTTTGTTTAACATTCAGGAAGATGCCGGTTCGATTCCGAATCCGTCTGCCTTGGTCCAAGTTTTTCTGTGGTTTCCTTGAATCACTTAAGCAAATGCTGGGGCAGTAATATTCCATAGATAATCTTTCATTCTCTTCTGTCTTCATTTCGTCTGCCTCATATTTCTCACCCGAACCACCACCTACCCATTCCCACGATTTCTGAAAGGAGGCTGTAAAGGGCCTTCCGCCCTACCTTCCGGCGTAGTCCGAAGAGTCTGTCCGTTCACCAGTATTAATGACTAGAGGGAATGAAACACCCGAAAGTTGTAAGATTTTTTTTACCAATTTGTCACCCACTGCGTTACCTGCCTTTGAATATGATTAACTTAATTAGTGGCCAAACGAAAACATTTTAAATTTCTATGTGTGTAGATGCATTACAAACTAGTGTTATTTATTAGTAATTTAGAAAAATTTCCAAAACGGAATTCTATTATCTTCGTTTGTGTAATGATCATGACGCATTTTTGAACTAAATTATATATCATTTTTTATAATGTCTATGCAAAGCTGAAGTATGTACCTACATATTTTGATATTTCGATATTTTGCAAACAGTCTTTATTTTGTTTATAATTGAATGTTATGTAGTCATGCATACCTAGATGATTACCGTCTTTTATTACTCCTAAATTAAAGTAATTATGCGTATGTCTTATGGACTTTGTCAATGTCGTCATGTTTTCTGATTTGCAGCTACAAATTTATCGGCTCAATTAATAAACAACTCTATGTAATTTTTGCCATAACGACGATACTTTGGAAAGCTTATATATCATATTCAGAATAAACTGAAAAATGCATTTATCTCTCAACTAAAACTTTAAATGAAACAATCAATCCGTTTAAAAGAATAGCGTGTCAGTCAGAGAAGAAATGAAACTTTTTTTATGGAATGTGGAGAATGGAAAAAATACTTTAATGTGGATAATATTTGTTCATAACTTAACACTGAAATAAATAATTATGAAAATGTGTAATATCTCGAAGTAAATATATGAAATCCTATGACATTGTTAGTACTTAATAGTGGATTAATATGCAATATTATTTTGAAATCATTTTTTCGATTTTTTATTTACCCGCTACAAACTACCTCAAATTAATGAGGGAAAATTTTTGTTGTTGTCACACCCCCGCCTGGAATCGAACCCGCGACCTTTGGCTTTACGCACCAATGTTCTACCACTAAACTACGAGAGGTGACAACAGTAACCACGACCAACCGACCTACAAGGTTAACGATCCGTCGATTTTTATTAACTTAATCATATATACACATATTAAATATATGAAATCCTGTGACATTGTCTGTTACCTAATAGTGGATTAATATGCAATATTAATTTGAAATCATTTTTTCGATTTTTTATTTACCCACTACAAACTATATCAAATTAATGAGGGAGTTCGATTCCCGGCTGGGGTGTGACAACAGCAACAATTTTTCCCTCATTAATTTGAGGTAGTTCGTAGTGGGTAAATAAAAATCGAAAAAATGATTTCAAATTAATATTGCATCTCGAAGTAAGTACGAACTATAGACGTTTCACTTCTGTAGCATTAAGTTCGATCTAATTCTAAACAAGTCTTTTTTCGACTCCAATGTATTTTTGAATGTTTGTGTTTCATCGTCGTCATTCCAGAAAAAGTTTCACTTTTAACCTTGTAATTAGCCCTTCTACCTCACTCTCTCTATTCGCCCAAATGGCCCTCAGTCCACAGCTTTACAGAAATAATGACCCCGCTCACTCCACCGAATTTACCCTCAACCTCAACCAGTATTCACCAGCGCAATCTCGCATAATAAGTTTCACTTGAAAAAATTACTTTTATTTTATCTTATTTACAAAAATTATTATTTGAAAAAAATAATCCACATCCCCCATACTTTAATAGTCCAAAGCGCATATAAGTGCTACGCCTCTCTTAATCCAATGCTGCTCAGACTTTTGGCTGGGGACTTCTATTGCCACAACATAATTCGTCGAATGACCTGTTGTTGACAAGGTTCCAGCTCTTGTGAGGGTTTTATACACCGGGCAAATGTAAACTCCTTTGGGTTTTTGATGGAATTCCTCAGGTATCATCCATATCACAGGCATATCTACAATCAATTAGTATCATAATTGAAAAACCGTGAACAAAGATGTTTACCTGTGTATAGTTCCTTCGGTCTCGATTCGTCCAGTGTCATTTTCTGCGGATTCCACCTGGAACCCTCCAAAAACAACCCCCTTATACAAGCGCCATCTGCCGGTCTGATCTTTGGAGGCTCCTTCAGTACCTTGATGGTTCAAATAATTCAATAAGAAATTGTACACCATAATGTTTTGAAACGAGAAACAAAAATAATTACCCTATACATGAAACTAATGGTGTCGATGGATAAGACGTATCTTCTGGCAAAATTTTGTAAAGTTCCTGTCAAAAAGGCCTGAGGAAAGTAGAAACCAGAAATCCAGAAGACTGTCGGAATTCCTTGATCGATCCACAATTGTATAAAAGCCACTCTCATATGTAAATCTTTAATCCAGGCACCTTTGTAAACAAACGCAATCATTTCGGCACGATTACCTTTTATAAGAATCCAAAATGTGTAAAGCTCCTTCTAAATATTGTACCTACCTAATGGTTTGAGGGAAGGATAAGCTTTACTGGCCCAAATTTGTGGAACTGCATTCCTGAACAAACTAGCGGACATTTTTTCAAGAACTTCGGACATAACAACGAGCCCTTTCAGGGCCTTCAGTAGATCCACGAGAGTCTGTTTTATAACATTCAGAAGCTTGTTGTAACGAATGGCTTCTTGTGATAAAACGGTGTTTAATGACTCTTCGTATAATACGGGATACCTTTAAGGTTAATTGTGCTTTGTACTTGATTACCAAAGGAGACGCTACATGTAATATTATTCAGTAAGTGTATACCTCTTTGATATATACTGCAAATCAAAAACACTAGGAAGTTCACCTAGGATCGACTTGGCCATTTTTTCTGTTTCTTCCTCTTGACTAGAAGCTGACCCACCCACTTGTTTCGGTTGCAAAAGAAGGAGAGTGGCCAGAGCGAAGTAAGTATTCGCTTGTGCGCAACTAATGTCAGCGTTCTGATGAAGACCAAAGAATTCAGGATCGTCATTCAAAGGTAGCTTCTTTATGTAACCCAAATATTCCTGAAGAGTATTATCTGGAGGAAGCTAACCAGACCAACAAAACAATTTAAAATGGTCGTAGACTGACATTAGATTACTGACACCCCCAACAAAAGTGAATAAATGTTAATTTTCATAGTACCTGACGATAAATGCCTCCTTCATCGAAACAAAAATTCGTATCAATCACTTCAGTCCTGTAATGTCCCTGCAAAATATTCATTAGACATCTTCTATCCCAGTCGTCTGTGACTCTTCCTCCATAGTTGATATGTCCGGCCGTGTACAGTAAAACCTTGAAGGGAATTTCTTCATATTCCAGCAAAAACATAAGCAGTTGCGATATACAAATTTTCAAATCGCCATCCGTGAACTCGTAGGGTATATTGAACCCCAGTGGACCGAACTTTCTTCGCTCTAAGGTAATCCCGTGGAAGAAGCATAGAGAAAATAGAAGATATCTGAAGGTCAAACACTTCGGATGCTCTGAGTGAAAGAAATCTGCGACATCAACCACTTGGTTCGAATAGGCTCTGAGCATGTTGGCCTTGAGGCCTCGGGGTGGTTCCACGGTCATTTTAGATCCGTTTTGCAAAATTGAAACTGGAAAACAATCAGATGGAGTTGACGTCAGCCACATACGGAAATCCCTGTGGACGGCATCAGGATTGATTGTTTCGACGAGACGGTCAAGACGGGGCATCCAACTTGGAGCCAAGTGGCAATTCTATGAAAGTTAATATAACAAAAAAGAAGTACATCACTTTTGTAAAGATAATGTAAAACCTGAAAAAAGACCCAAGTTCCGACTTCCTTTCCACTGTGAATCATTTCTTCGGCTCTTGGTCCTTGTCCTTGTCCGAGAGATATCGAGAACATCCTCTTTGCCATCTTCATCTTGTCGGCGAATTTGTAAAGGTCTGCAGCCGGATCTGTACCAGCAGAGATAACGAAGATCAAGGGCACCGTAGGGCTCGCTTCTTTGAACATCGCCGCCAGATCTGCCGTTTGAGGCTCAACGAATTGTTGCCCTATGTGCTCCGTTAAGAAGTCTTGCATTGCATTTGTCACTTTGTCCGGTCGAAGACTTTTCAATATTAACATCCTTTGGAAATCGTCAAAAGAACTTTCCAGAGATGGCGGCAGCTTCTCTCTAAAATAAACACTCAGTTTAATGATAAACGAGGCATTGTTAGGTATTTTATTGCCTGTGTGGTTCTATCGACTCAAAAATCGCCTTGTAGGTGGCAATGTTTGCTTGAAACGTATCTACAAACTTTTGATAGTTGTGTAAATTTCGAAGAGACATAATTTCCTTCCAAGCCTTTTCTGAAAGCCAATCGCTAGCCGGATTTGGTTCCTCCTAAATAAAAGTAATCGTTTATTTTTTCCGTCATAAAAAAAAAAAGATTGACGTTACTTGAAGTGGTGACCCTCCTGCTAAGAAAAAGTGCCATTCGTGTGCATTGATTTTGTTCTGCTCCATCATTATCCGAATGCATAACAGAAAAGCAAAAAGTAACTTATGTTTCTCAAACAAACTTCTGCAAACGTTACTGTAAAGGCTAAATGTAAATACGTCGTTTATTGAGCCAACGCGTTCCATTAGAATATCTTAAAAAAGATGTTATGTGTAAAATGTGTGTAAAAAGATGAAAATGTTGATTTTCCAACCAGATTTTTCCGCTTCCGCCATGGAATTGCTGAAAATGTTAATAAACCATTCTAACGAATACTGATACATGGGATCCACATTAGACAAATCAGCAACACAGAAAAACAGAATCTGTCCTCTTCTTGCTACTGGTATATATTGCATTCTCGTGTTATCAATATCTATTTGGGTTATTTCAGCGGATTCTAAACTGCTCTGAAGTGTTAAGATTCGATTTTGGTTTCAACAGAATACGCGAATGACTTGGCAACCAGTTTCTTACCTTTATCTCCTCACTTTTGACTTTGGATGCTTCCAAAGTGACAATAAAATCTATATCGTCCACAGGAGATCCCTCAGATATACTGAGTTTATACAATATTCGGTCCTCGATCTCCTTCAGCTCTTGCTTCATTTGTGCTGTCGAAACCACTATGGCACTCCTCTGTTCTTCCAAGTCAGGTCTTTCTTGAGCCACAACCAAACCGAGCAGCTGGTCTTCTAAACCACTTTTAGAGAATGATAAATGAATGCATGGTCACACCTCGAAAATATATTTACCGCTTACCTAGGCACTAAAGTGAAATTTACGAGAAGAACTTTAACACATATTTCAGGACTGTAATGGGGATTCGGTAACTTGGTCGTTATGTAAAGTTCAAAATCGAAATTGTAAGGAAGAATAATGTCGCCTAGCTTAATAACCCAAGTTGAACCTTGTTTAAATAATTGCTTCAGAAGAACAGTATCGAGAGCAGGGTCTAATTCAGTACCAACATTTTCAATCACTACAGCTTTTCCGAAGCGAATCGCTGATTCCAACGTTCTCAGCAAATCTCTGTCCGCTAGCTTACACGCTGATATTCCTTTCGGCTTGCCCTGTAATAAACATCTAGTCTTATTAATAATAAATGTCAATTATCCTTAATAAATTTCACCATATTCTTTATCCATTTATTAGCTTGCCCCTGAGGATCAATGAAGAGGGGCCATCTTCTGGAATTTGCCGCCAGAATCGCGTTCTCAGTCGAAAAGTAATCCCTGGGGAGTCCGTCAATTTGCCATTGGCGTATGACCACGGGTTCTCCTAATACAGCAACAGGAGTGCAATTTGGTGTGTGAGGAACCTTTTGAGCAATTAAAATCTGAAACCATTCGCCCAGAAGTCTCCTCCTATAGCTATCAACGAATGGCGCCAGATAAGCTATCGATCCGGAACTGATCAAAATATCTCCGGTCACGTTTACCACGCTTGATTCGATATTAGCTATGGTTTGAATCCAACGCACTCTCTCGCCAGCTAAACCTATATTTAGGATTGTACCAGTTGTTAAATGCAACCTACCAAAGCTGTTTCAACGATCATGCAGCAAACCTGAGATCAATCGCACAGCTCTGTTCATTCTGTCCTGGCACAGATTGATGTTTCGTTCTTGTTCAGCCTTAAACTCCAACTTCTCGTTCAGCTTTGCGTTCAAAAGATCCAAATTGTCCATGACTTCTTTCATTTTTTCTCGGGCTATAGCCAACTGTCTTTCCGTAATGGCGAGCTCCTCTTTCGCTTTTGCTAGAGCAGCTTTCTTGGGTGCCACAACTAAATTGACGAAATAGTATTTGTACATGGCATGTACCCACATACACAGCGATGTGCAGGCTTTTGAAACCTTAAAGTAAAATAAAATGCTGGTGTTTTTTTTGCGTCAGAATTTATGTAAGTGTTTACTTTGATAATTTTAGCTGGTTGAAACTGAGGATCTTCCACGTAGTGCTTAAGCTTTTGAATCATCTCCTCTGTTATAGAATCCTTGTCGAAGTTCATTAAAGAATTAAGAAATGCTCCAGGATCGGTAAGCAAACCCCGACCTGGTTCCCAATAGTCCAGAATTTTTTCACCTAGACGACTCCCTGGTACCTATTACCAATTAAAATCGAAACGTTTAATAACTTGTTTTTTAGTTTGATAATCGTTAAAAGTGTCATGGTGCCTGTACCTTAATAGGTTTTACGTTTTTTACAATACAAATTGCTTCCATTACGTATATGACACCCGCTGGAGGTTTCTTCATGGCTCTCACTTCCGTTATGTCGTTTTTGTTCAGGGATTTCAAACTTGCTTCGGCCGCTTCAAGAGCTGGCATTGCCTCCTCTGAAACCAAAAAGTACTGTAGGAATGTAGACATCAAAATGGGATGAAACATTAGTTTCAACAATAATTGAGTCGATGAAGCTATCAATTCTTATAACTTGATGTTAATAAACACAAGTTGCATGATCATTGATCATCATCACTTTGTCCTTTTTGTTGTTCTAGTTTTAGGAAAATGCGAAGATTAACTCAGGATCGGAAGGAGTGGAAGAGCGTGTTCAGCCAGTCTTAGGACTGATGACTTTATGTTGATGTTGAATAATTAATAAACCTTAGGCTTTGTACCTAGATCTCTTTGAGCATCAGCAGCAATTGTTTCAGTTTCTATAGCTTTTTTAGTTGCTTCAAACTCTTCCTTCTCCACAACCGCTTTAGTTTCTTCAGCTACAAGCTGAAATTGAAACCATTAAGTGTTTATATCTTAGCTGTATTATACAATATTCTGCTATCTTACGGTGTCCTGAGCTATTTGGGCAATCATCACTTCAGCATCTTTGGCTGCTAATTCCAGAGCGGGCTTCATTAGTGCGAGGTCCACTTGTAACACTTTCACTTCTTCTCCGGTTATTCTCATCTTCTCTAAACCTATATGAAACAAACATTGCCTGGATTAACGATAACAAAGAGGTAGACTCAAGGACCTATTTTCAGACGGCCAACCCCTTCTGTTAAGTTTCCCTTTTTCGTGTTCATCAGGTCCGTGTAACTGCTCAACAATCCCAAGTACGATGCTGGAGTGACATAATTATGTCTCGATAATTCTTGCTTGTATAATACACTGGCCTTTACAACACTTGCGTGCATATATTGACAAACCACAACTATACCGTTTAAAACTTCATTTGATACATTCAATTCCTCAATTTCCTCCAAAAATTGTAGAGCTACAGACTATAAATAACAAAACACAGTATTTAACAACAATTGCGTACGTAATATTTTTTTTGTATAAACCTGTAATGCCGAATCAGGCCACTCACTGTACCAGTCTATAGTACAACAGTTCACCAAAGCAGGAAACTGTCTTAATCTAGCTCGAAAAACCTCACCAATTGGACTACGGGCAGAAATATCGTATGGAGTTTCTTTTCGGATCATTCTACATGTCAGTCATAAACGAATTTACCTCATAGTAATGACTGTGTGCAGATTGACTCTGACTTGTCTTGTGTAAACAGAGTAGAGATTGGATTTGGTGGCACTCAAGCCCATTTCCTGGACCAATGTTCTCATACCCTGATAAATTTTATCCAGTTCATCAGGTGCGTAAATATTCGGGACATCGCCTGAGTTTAAAATGTTATTGATATCCTCCAAAAACGATTCTGTCTTTACCTACGTGTGCGTTAAAGGTCATTAGTAAGTTCTTATTCAGAAGCTTATCGAAACCACCCGATGTGAATCGTTATTTCGAACCTATCGGTTCTTATCAGCACACAAAAACGAGGATCGATAAATTGCCGACGACATTATTGAAATAGGTGTGCTGAAGAGAACTAGTAAGTTTAAAATCCACATGTGTTGATTTCGACAAGTTGCTAACCAAGAGCTTAATGTTCTTTAGTCGATTGGTTTACGATCTAAATTCAATTTGGCAAGTCATAAAGCCCTAGAAAGGAATAGTTAGAGATAGCATTAAATAAAATGGAAGCGGTATTGACAAATCAGTATTGTATGAAAATAAATAAAAGTAAAACAAAAATACTGGTATGCAAGGAAAGAAAAAGTAGGGAAAGATCGAATATAAAGATAGGAGACGAAAGGTTAGAAGAAGTGGCTGATTTTCGTTATCTAGGAATTCAGGTAAGTCAGGACGGAAGTAGTAGTAGGGATAGAAGCAGATGATAACGCAGGGTCGAGTCGACTTCAATAAAAAGAAGTCACTTCTATGCTCACAAACGATTATTTTAGACATTCGAAAAGGATTGTTAAAGGTGCATATTTGGAGCACGGCTTAGGGGTGCGAAATTTGAACGGTGGACGCGGCGGAAAAGAAAAAGTTAGAAGCGTTCGAAATGTAGTGTTACAGACGAATGATGAGGATACCGTGAATAGAGAAGGTTAGAAATGAAGAGGTATTAGAAAGAATATGAGAACAGAGGACTCCATGGAAGTCAATAGAAAATAGGCGAGGTAAGTTGGTATACTTCATTTACTTTCTCTAGCGATGTGCCCTTTCCAATGTCTTGGATGCACGCTGGCAAAATCGTAGGTAGGGAGAAAAAAGCTCATTATACTCTCGACTCTTGTTCATTAAACATATTTTTTCATACAGTACCTGCCAAAAGTTTTGTTCGATCATAAATAGTAGTGCGAGTCGAAAACAAGCGTTAAAGCCCTTAGTATGTCTTCAAATATAAGTAAGCATCTCGTTGATATTTTCAGTAGTAATTGATACTAATAACAGCACATTTGAGCAATGCAATTGTAATGGATAAAATGATCAATTTTTCCGTGCAGTACTGTACGGATTATACGCTTCTCACCGGTTAAGAGTTTGGCCGAGAGTTGTCTCCTTCCTAGTGCTGTTGTTTTCTATTTTGCGACAGTGAAGCTGAAGGTCACACCGCTACAAAAAGTAAACGAAGTATAGGAGACCTTTTCAGGAATAAAGGTTTAGTCAGAGACATATTAGAGGCAGAAACAGGAGTTAAGAGGAGTAGAGGTAGACCTAAATTTGATTACTGTTACTTGTTAATAGAAAAAAACCTGTGTATCAGAAAACAAAAAGACTGTTTCGGCATTCTGAAGTCCGGATTTGAGCATCAAATTTTTTATATCGTCTCGCCATTCCATATTTCCGTATGTTTTTGTTAATTCGATTTGAAAACAAGTGTATTCCGCTATAAACGCTGCAAGTCGCGTCAAGCTTTGTCTTCCTGTAATATAGGAGTAAATTAACAACGTCTGGGCCCTGGTGTATGTTTTCTGAAGTTTGAACTAACCCGAGCCACCCATGCCTAGCAAAAGGCCATTTCCAAGCGGTTGTCTAATTATTCTGGCCACCCTGCAAATATGAGCCATAGCATCTTCGAACAGTACAAGTTTCATGGGCTTGGTGGTTTGATTGTTAAATTCGTCTAAATATTTTAAAAGTGCTTTATTCATCTGCAAAAGAAATCTGTAATATTTATCAAAGTGTATGAAAATCGTACTTTGTCGACTTCCTTAATATGAATGTATGCGCGATCGTCTGAAGTCGAATCCATAAAATCTCCATAAAACATCACTTCATTGCCTATGATTCTCTTGTCATCCATTTGGAACTGTTTCTTTATTATATCCCTTAACAGATTATCGAACCATTGCCTGTCGGTGTCATTTATGAGACGATCTTGGAATACCCGACAATTCTCGTGATACCACAAACGAACAATGTCGCTCAGGGACTAAAAATAGGTCGACTTGCTTAGTACTACTCGAAGAGCTGACAAGCTAAAAACTTACTGTCACAGACTCGGGATTCATCATCAGTATCCCTTGAAATGTTTTACCCAAGTCTCGTAAGTTGAATGTGTAGTGAGTTTTTGCAGGTGTCGGAAGAAGTTCGCGTAGAATTGTCGAATAAACGTACATAGTTTGTCTCAATAATATCTCGTAGAAGAATGCAAATTCAGTTGTACGATTTATCCAAAATTTAAGAATGGTACCAAAGATTGTAATCTAAAATGGCAATGTATAATTATCTAGTCGAATATGAAAAGTGACAATCATGATTACTTTGCTGTCATCTTCCAATTCGGTGAATGTTAAATAATGAAAATGCCTTAAAAGTCTTGCCGTTACAGGATTTCTTCCCCCACCCGGGGGGCCCATGGCACATATAAAGTTTGTATCAATTATAGTCCTGAACTCGCCAATATTTCTGCGATCGTACCATCCTAACCAAAATATTTTTAGTTCAATTATTTAAAATAGTCTTTACAATAGGTCAGAATTACCCTCAAAGTCCATCCACTGCCTTATTAATTCAATTGGTGGTTGAGCTCCATAGACTTCTAGGGCCGGCATGTTGAAATCATCAATGAAGAATATTTGTCTCTTCAAAACTGGTGGGCCAAAAACACCCCTTCTACGCCTGTCCAACTTGCCATCTATGAGATCCTTAAATTTTGACATTTATCAATTGATTGCGTTTGTTTCAAATATGCACTTATACCTGGGTCTGATTCGCACTCGTCCTCGCAGAAAAGCATATGAAATCGCAAATGTACTTTTTATGCATATTTCGACTCAGTTTGGAGATTATGGTTATAGTTTTTCCAGTCCCTGTTGGTCCCACGCAGAGCACATTATCCTCGTTGTTAAGCAAAATGCCAATCATTTCCGCATTTCGTACTTTATCTATTGTCGGCACTTCGATATCCGAAAACCGCATTTCAATCGTTATCTTGTACTCTTCCATATTTTCCATCCAATTGTGCCACGCTGGTGGTATTGGTTCGTTTTCTTCTGTTACATCAGTAAATCCGCCGTCGTGTAATTTATAATCATAAACCAATCCCTTCGCTGGAAATAACGGTGCATGATTATTTTCCACCATAGTTTCGCGAATCCAGTCAGAAAAGAACACGCGACCGTCGTTGTCGCAGGTCACTCCTATGCTCCATATAACAGAAAATACCACCCATGGTACCAACAGTACCGCTAAATTTAAAAAGGAAATCATTGTGACAATTTTTAATGCGTCTAGAAAATTACTACGCTTATTTTAAAACAATTTAAGCTTCTACTAAAATATCAACATTATTCTTACGAATCAATTCAATGAACTGTGCAGGTGGCGGAGGCTTATTGTCCTTCCCCGCTAGTGGTCCTAATCTGAAGTCCATCAGACGTAAGAATGATATTACCAGGGCTGAATCAACTGATGTCAAAACTTCCTTCATGTTGCTTCTAAGAATGACGATTGCCGGAAGTAAATATATTTGAAAGAGTTCTTGAAATTCATCGGCGAATTTTATCGCTAACTAAAGTATTCAGTTATAATTATTATCCCGTATAGCACACTCAGAAATATAGCATATATTTACCAAAGGCAATCTGTCTATCCAACAGTTTAAAAATGGTTGTAAACCAAGAACTCCAGGTTCAAGATAAACCATGCCGCATCTGGACACAGTGGCTGGAGACGCTACAGCCAAATCTGCCACTTCGAACATCATGGTTTGAGTGTCACGCAATTTAATAATTTCTCCGCTACTTAGGCATAACTTTTTATTGTCGTCCAGGACTGTATTCATGTTTTCTATCCATACGGCGTCCACAGGACCATCAAACACGTACCAACGTTTGTCTTTATTCTCAGCGCTCACCCCGATACGTACCAATGATGGCAAAATCCCATCGGTCCTTTAAATAAAAATGTTTTGTTTCGTGATCGCCTTTCATTAAAAGAAAATTTTTCCGGACTTGATGACCGTGATGTTGAAACCCTCCGCTCTAAGTGGCCCTTCAGTTGGAGGAGTTAATGCAATGTTTCGCCGGTAATTGTGATATGCATCCTCAGAGACTGTTTTGTTGCAGTTCTTCTGTGGGAAAATCTAACCGGCACTGAAACTCTCCCCCATGAAGAACCACCTAGTAAGAATCACTCCAAATCTCCAATAACACGGTCATTGTTTCCCAACAAAATGTTTTGATATGAAAATATGAATCTTATTCCACCCTCTATATTCTCTTATTCGCATAAAAAAAATGTTGTTTGATTCTCTGCCATCGATTTCCCTGAGGCTGGTATTTATACAATTAAATGTTAGATCGTCCATTATGGCGAACGATTTATTGTACCATTTCATGAACACAACGACTAGAAATTGCGATAAAATATACTTGTTTACGACTGGTAATTTGCCTGTAAATTGTATTCAAACGTCACCGAAGGTAAACTGTACGTAGTAGTTAATTTCTTTGGGTATTAACGAAAAGTACGTCGTACTTTGTTCTCTTCAAAGTAGCGGCAAGAATTTTAATTGAATTCTCAAATACTCTTAAACCAATTGGATTTTGTTCCAATAATTCATGAAAAATATTACATGAGAAGATCCCTAAATGGCTTTAAAGATAGGGAAGATGCGCCCGTAGTGAGAAATAAATGTAAAGACATTATTACCATAGTAGGTACACAATTTATGACCATTTCAATTGTGGGCACCTTAATTAAAAATTGTATGAATTAAGAATTCACAGATATCAGAATTAAATGACAGTTAAAGGGTGTTGCTTTTGTTTGTGTATTTAATGAATTTTAAAGAGATTCGGATTATTGATCATACCAATGGGAGGCTTTTCTTTAAAAATAAGAAACGTCTGCTGGTACCTACCACTCATGGGTAACCAAATCGAATTCACCGTAAAGTTGACCCATGGTTATGGACTTTGGATTTAACACGTACGTCCACACAGGTTGAAATGGGTAACCACTGGGCTGCGGTTTACCCTTCAAAGCGGTCATTGCAGCTTTCAAAATTTCATAACACTAAAATGGTAATAAAAAATGGATCAAACTTTTGTGCAATAAAGTAACACTGGTTGCAAAAGTTTGTACTTTTAATAGAAATTATACAACTGCAAGGTACAACTCGAAGGTCTTCTTCCGCCTGTTTCAAAAATCATGGGAATGTGTGGAAAATATAATATTTTTCTAGGAACCACAATATTTTTGGCAATTTACAAAGACCTTACAATGACTATCGCATCATTCATTATTTATAATATTTATATGTTGACCAAATCCTGTTAGAAATACTTAATTTTATTATTGGGGGAACAAATTTTTGAGCTCCGCATGCGTAGGTTTGATTTCTTTTGCAGTTTGTTTCACATCTACATAGGTGCATAGTTAGATATGCTTTCATGTCACATGCCCTGTAGGCGTCCAGCAAATCTAGAATGACAGTCGATGTGAAAAGAACTGAAATTTTCCTCTTGCGGAGCGACGTCTATTTATAAATATATGTCCCAACGAATCTAATTAAGGAAAATTATCCGGAAGTCATCAGGATGTACTTTCCTGTAAGTTAAAACGATCGAATATGCGTTAGGAAAAAATAAAAGCGAAACCGCTTTTTCTTGTGTTGTGCTATGTGTTGTTTGCAGATGTGACGGTGTATTATTTGTTTTATTTTCATTGGAAATGTTTGAAGTTAAGTGCTTTTGTTTTTTAATTTTTTCTGTTCATTCATCAAAAACACTTGCTGTTTTCTTTAAGTTTTAACTTTATAAAGTTAATGCAGTTTTTTTCTATTACAGAGACGCTTTTTCTTTTAACATTTAAATACATGTTTTTCGTTGATTTTTACTTATAGGACTATGAAGCAACCAATGATTCTCTGGCTTATCAAAATGATACGTACGAAAATATTTTGAACGGTTTTACAACAGAATGTGGGGTGTACTTTACATACTTTTTAAATCTTCTTGGAGCGTATTACTTACCTGTCATCATAGTTTTTGGACTGGTAAGTGAACAATAAAATAATCAAAATCTTAATTCATTTTTTATTAGGTACATTATTCTTTTGTCAATACAAAAAGTCAAAACACGAAGCAGAATTTTCAAGTTAATTACAACAAAAAATTATACAAAGAAAAAAATTATTAATTAATTGATATTTGTACTATTTTTGGAAACAAGCAAAAATTTTGTTTTCCTAGTTAAATTTGAATAAACGATAAGGGCGGTATACAAGATTGATAACAAAACGATATTACGTAATAATAAATTAAATTAATTACTGTGTAACTTTTTATCAGGTCGGAAATATGCTATCGTGCGTGGTATTTTTGTCGACGCATCTGAAAATGAGAAGCTCCAGCTATTACTTAGCAGCGTTGGCGGTTACCGATTTCGGTTATTTAAGCATCCTTCTGGTAAACTATCTAAACTACATTAGCGCAATGGACTTGTACAATAGAGAAGGTTGGTGCCAGGTCTTCGTATACATTAGCGGCGTTTGCAGCACCCTGAGTACCTGGTTAATTGTCGCGTTCACAGTCGAAAGATTCATTGCCGTCCAATATCCTCTTCAAAGACCTTACATGTGCACCGTATCCAGGGCTAAACTTATACTTACCGTGCTATCTTTGGTCGCTTTGCTTTCTCAGGTGCGTGTTGAGGTTTAATAGAAATACATATTTTTAGTTACACCTACTAATAAAGCATAATCACCAAGTGCAATATCAAATGATGAGTTCCACTGTGTTTCTTGGCAGTCACAACAAAAATATTTCGATGAATTTTCTCCAAAAGTGTGCACAGTGGTTCTTGAAATATAGCATTTGTTACTTATCTGACCTACCTACACTACATATGTACTCGTAATTCGTAACAAATTTCAGCTCTATTTATTTTGGACCGCTGGAATCGTAAAACAACGAGAAGCATTGTATTACGTCTACTACGGTTGTGACATGAGACCTGAGTACAAGGAATTCATGAAAATAGTAAATTTCATAGACACCATCACGACATTGGTTGTTCCGCTTATATTAATTGTAACAATGAACACCATGATATCTAGAAACTTGTTGGTGTTTAAAAAGCGATTCAGGAGAGATTCGAGCGGTGAAGGTTTGGCAATCCAAAGAATCGACACGCAAGTAAATTGCAAAAAAAAAATTTACCGGCGTTCCCTTTATTTTACCAAATCGTTTTGCAGAGCACATCCCTTGGAAGACCCAGTTCTCAATGTTCAGTGCAAACAAAACAAAGCAGCATACACAAAAGAAGAGACACGCAATCTCCAGTCGAACAAAATGCGTCACTCTTATGTGAGATGAAAGCTTCTTTAGTGACGAATATTCTTTTTAATAAAATATATCTTTTAGATATACCGTCCTTGAAACGGATTGTTTCCACAAACAGCCAGCAGAATGTAACCAAAGTTTTACTTCTAATCTCTACTATATTTATTTGCCTTAATTTGCCTAGGTAAGTCAATCTTTAACTAGAAAATGAGACAGCCACGAAGAACAAATGTAAATGATATTTTACATTAACTCGTTTTACTAGGTAGTAATTTATTTGAAGTACGTCAGTAGCAGCAAATACCCACTAGATGGCGACACACTGTTGTATATTAGATATTATATCTTTTCCGCGGTCGTTGTTAATTTAAGTAGTCCTTTTTTATTGTTAGAGTTCACTAAAAGACTCTTCCATGCTAAGACAATGGTTACTACATACATAATTTGCAGCAGTTATGGCGTGAGCCAAAATCGTAGTTGACACTGTAAAACAATCGATGTGACACTTCTAAATAAAAAAAAATAGCACCACTTGAGTATATTTACATAAAAATGTCAAACGTTCCACTTGTTCCCTTCAGAGAAAACTCTGGTTTCTCTTTTGAGAATTGCTTCAGGAATGACAAGCTGAATGCAAGCGGTCTTCCATTGCCTAAACCTAAGAAAACAGGAACAACAATCGCTGGAATCATCTACAAAAAAGGAGTAATACTTGGAGCCGATACAAGAGCTACTGAAGACGCTACAGTCTCCGACAAAAACTGTAAAAAGATACACTACTTAGCTCCTAATATATATTGTTGTGGAGCTGGTGTCGCAGCGGATACCGAAGTGACGACCCAGTTGATCGCATCTCAGCTGGCACTGCACCGTCTGAACTCCAACCGTATTGTACCTGTGGTCACCGCAAAACAACTTCTCAAGCAATATTTATTTCGATACCAGGGATTTATTGGAGCTGCTTTGGTACTCGGAGGTGTAGACAATTTCGGTCCCCACTTACATTCCATTTATCCTCATGGATCTACCGACGAACTACCGTACGTAACGATGGGCTCTGGATCGTTAGCTGCCATGGGAATATTTGAGAGTCAGTGGGAACCCGAAATGAAAGAAATTGAAGGAATCCGGTTGGTACGCGACGCTATATCCGCAGGAATTTTGAACGATTTAGGCTCAGGATCAAACGTTGATATTTGTATCATCAAGAAAGAGTCAGCGGAATATTTGAGAACCTACGATACGCCCACCGCCAAAGGTCAAAGGCAAGCCTTTTACAGATATCTAAGGGGAACCACGCCGGTTTTGACCACCAAATCTGAAGAAATTCAAGTTAATGATGTTAACGTCAAATATGTCGAACCAATGGAATTTTAATGTTTGATCTCAAACATTTGATATTATTACGCGTTTGATATACTTAATTGTTCTTCCAGATAATACCTTTCGAATTAAAGCAAAATATTTAGCATTACTATCTATCCATTGTTTTGTTCACTCAAGTGAATGTTAATTTCTTTTCAGCTACTTCATACGGCTTTACTTCTACGCTCTAAACGTTTTAGAGAAGGAGGTACCGACAGAAATCTATTGCGTTCAACAGTTCACCATGATGCTATTTTACACCAATTTTAGCGTCAACTTCGTTCTATACGCAATGTATGGAATAACGTTTAGGAATTGCTTGAAACAGTTAATCTGGAATTTACTAAGACGCAATTGCTGTCGCTTTAAATAAATGTTTTTAAGGAATATGATAAGATAAGCTATAACAGCTCCACCTCAAAATCCCACGTAATTTTGGTCTTTTTCGTTCAATTTTACGTACTCCACGCCTACTCTAACGCCACAACTACAAACTGTTGTCAGCCATCTTTGACAGCTGTCATCGTCAGCCATCTTTGACAGCTGTCATCGTCAGCCATCTTTGACAGCTGTTACCATCAGCCATCTTTTACTGCATCGTCACTTTTCTGGATACTCCGCTTTTTCTACGGGTGATCTACCACTAAAGTTCCCTTCATCTGTTACTCCCTTTTCAAAAGATGGGTCTCTGCTGCTGCTGCTGCCGATACCTTGGCAGAAGCTGGATAATGAGACCTCCTGAGGTGTTAATAGTGGAGCACCGCTTAATGATGACAAAAGGACGATAGCTGAAATGTATACGAACGAGGTGTCAGGAGTCGCAGCAGCATAGGAGCACCTCATCATCAGGGAGGAACAGATGAAAGGAACCCTAAGAACCTTCATAAGAAAATACGTAGGATTTTAGGGCCGAGCGATGGTAGCCTATCTACTAATATTGCCAAAATTGATAAAAATTTCATTAAGAGCGTAAAAGTTTCATGGACTTTTTTAGACATTAAGTATAAAATAAATACTCTCTTCGATATTTTTACTAAAGTAGCAGATATATGTACCTTTAAAGTATTATTTTAAAATATTTTTTGTATTTGCAGTAAACCCAGGACAAAAAATATGTAACTAGAATAATTTTTAAGAATTGTCAACAAACGAAAGTTGTTTTTTGATTGAAATACGTAAATGTATTGCAAAATAAATATTTTTTAATGAGACACTTTTGTAACTCCACTATTTTTCATAAATCAATTCTATTTTAATGTAAGCATATTTATTATTATGTATAATAAAGTAAAATAAAACGAATGATTTCTTACCTTGGTCTTACCTGAACCTGTGGGGCCAACCAGCATCAAACCATGCCTTACCACTGTAGTTTCGTAAAGTTGGATAACTTTTTTTACATATTCTGTAAAGGTTTATAACTTTTTAGTTGGCTATAAAATAGTACATCCAACGAAAACAATCGATGCCCTTAACAACATGAGAAACTTACCATCAACATCTTCTAAACCTTTTTTCTTGGTCTGAGTTCTTATCGACTCCTCCAGGATGCCATAATCAACCACCTCTTCGACCATTCTGGGAAACAAGTCGGAAACAATTCCTAGCAAAACCATGAAATGCATCAAAATCGTAAATTTCAATGTTCTTTTAATAATAATCAGAACATCAGAAGACCTTTGAAGTGTGATCGATGACAAACGATCGATAACAATCAAGATAACGTCCCAAAATTCTTACTTACCGTTAAATAATTTTAAATCGTCTTTCAAAAATTTGGGCACGTTGACATCTCTAAGAGCACGCAAGCAAATTTGGTTCTCCTCCATTTGAGGCCTCTCGCGTTTCAAATTACCAGCGACCGCTATCACCGTCTTGACGGCCCTCATACCAAAGTCGTAATGATCTTGGGAACTAAGCTGTTCCGAACTGAGCTTAAAAGTCGTCGTTATTTTATTGGCCAACTTTTTCGCATTCCCGAATCCAAAAGAAAACAGCGAAATCTCAGCAATGAGGGTGTAATCGGGTACCATCATTGCCACCGGTCGGAACAGGGCCTTTAAGTTGTCAGGCAACTCGGTCCGTCCAGCGTAACCGGGGTTCATAGTGATGAACACCGCGCACGAGGCTTTCAAGGCAATCTCAACGCCCTCGAAGAAAAATCTAAGATCGATATACAAATTTAAATAAAAGAACAAATAAGAAGCTTTATTGTTGGAGCAAAAATTTATGATGTACCTGTCCAATCGTGACTGTTGTGCTTTTTGTATCGTCATTATCTGTTGAGCAACAACTGATAACACTTCAATGTCTATTCTGTTGAATTCGTCAAAGCATGCCCAAGCACCCGAGCTGAAGTGGACACAACACTGTTATTGCCATAGTGCCATTTACTTACGTCTACTAACCTTGCTAAGCCTTTGAAGAATTTCCCCATTGCCATAAAATCCAATTGGTCAGAACAGTTGAATACCACGCACTGAATAGCCATGGCTTTGCCCAAATCTTTGGTCGTTTCTGTTTTGCCAGTGCCGGCAGGTCCAGCTGGTGCCCCGCCAAATTTTAAATGAAGCGCCCCAGTTAATGTCAGATAACACCTGTCAGTCAACGGTGTTATCACCAGCCTTCCACTATTGCCAAGATATTCGTAGCCGTATTGAAACTCAGCATTTACTGCCCTCACCTTCACCTCCTGTTCTATCCAATAGTACCTTTACCACGTCGAATGTATTTAAAAGGGAAAAATAAAGACAATAACATTATTCAATCACCTTAATTGACTTATCCAGTCGAAGTCATTGACATTGCTGACTTTTGAAGTAACAAGACTTTGCGTGACGTCTCTTGCGTGCACCTCAATCACTATGAGGGCACATATGATCTCTCTGTGAAGATACGTCAATGTGCCTCTTACCAGTTGTCTCAACTGGTCCAACTAATGAGGCAAAAATTCAATGTACGTTTCAATCGGCAGAAAACAAAAAAAAAAACAGAAGATACTTACAGGAAAAGTAAAATTATTTAAAATATTAATAAAAATTGTTTTTGAATGAGATTTTTCTCACATTATCAAGCATTATGTCAAAAAATCGTGCCAATCGGCCTTCTGCAATTCCTGCTTCCACGCCAGTAGTCCAATAAGTTTGGCAGCATGCAATAACTATCTGTCCAGGCCAAAGTAAAACCCAAGATTTCCTATCTTTCTTGTACAAATCTTCGAGAGACTTTCCAAAGGTGGTACGCACTGAAACGAGATAATACACTTAGCATAATCGTTGTCAAAAAAAAGATTTACAAGGGATATAAATACTAACGTGTATTTTTCATTGAATTTTCAACAACAACCAACCAAATTTCGACACCTCCTTCAGGATATAAAGGAGGATCCAGATCGACACATTCGTCTTCCGCCGAAAACATTTGAGTAATTTTCAAATCTGCTTCAAATGTCAACTAAAACCCAATCGATATAAAAAAGATCTAAAACTATTTCTGTTTCATTACCCTGGCAATGTTTTCGAAACATTTTCTTAGATGAGGTTGTACTGCCAACGGGTTTCGAGCTTGAGAAAGGATCTCCAATAACTCGTCGTCGCTGAGGAAGAACAATCGGGGGAATGTCATCCTCTTAAACTCCAAATATTCCGCTAGACCTTTCTGGACAAGATCCAACAAATGAACGCAATCTCTTAAGCTTTCCAATAACTTTTGGTCCGCACAGTACGAGATCATCTGGACATAAATACGTAATAACGGTATTCGTAAGGAACATAAAAAAACAACACCTACTTTCGGATTGATCTGAGCATTTCTCATAATCCTTCTCCATGTCCTTTCCATGGACGAATACTTTTTACTTTCTATGGGTAGTTGGAGCTTTATATCTTCACTGGTAAATATAGGTTCTATATACATCCACGTCCTGCAAAAGATCATTAAACTTCGAGAAAATAATTACATTTATCCTAATACTTTTGTAATTCAATCCATGTTTCCACCACTTGAGATGTGAGTTTCAGTGTTAATTCCCATTCGTCGATCCTTTCCTCAAAGGCTCCTTTAAAAGGACTAAACGAAATCTGCTGTGTCATTACTATATGATCGTCCAACATCTGTTGAGTTTCATCAGAAACTCTAACGATGAAAGTACCTTCAAAATCACCAACATACATTATCTGTACTTCTAACATTTTTGAATTGTTTTCCAACCTGAATCTTTATATGGTTGTAATTCCAAATCGATATTCTCCCATTCGTGTTGCATCTTATCCAAAATTGTTTCAATGGAATACTCTTTAGATGCAATATCAGCAATATGCAACACTAAATCCGCGTGAAGATCTATTCCTATCGCGAGGAAGTCGTTGAATGTCAAGGTTGGAGTCCAAACAATATTTAATCCTGAAATTTTATTATTTTAATCGGCAACTCTCTCACTAAATAAGAAGTATTTCGTTGACCTGTTTCTTCACTAATATGATCCCAATGCCTTTGCCTCATTCCTGGGTTCCTTAGGGCTTTGAGAAGAGGAACCATCGGCCTAAATTCATCCATTTCGTCTCTTATTCTCATTGCAACAGTTTGGACAGCCTCAATGTCAGCAAATATACGAATCGACTTTTGCATTATCTTATACATATCTGCCATTGTTGGCTCGATAGCTTCTCCGTCAATATTTACCAAAGGATTATCCATCCAAATTTCGTGCCATTTCATCCAGTCTACAATAGTGTATTCGTACCATCCAGTTGCTTAATTTATCGAAAATTACAATTACTAACCTGATGCTGTAACCCAGAGGTTTTTGTATGGTTCAAATTCTTTCATAAGTGCTACTAAATTATCAAAAGGCACTACAGGCATATTAAAGAGCTTCTGCCGTGAATTCAAAAGTAATCCTTGTTCTTGGGCCTCCTTCATATTCTTCCAAAGGCGTTTAATTTCTATGGCTACTTCATGCGCCTATAGAAGATTGATATGTCATAATGAACAAAGGAAAAGTTTCCTTTTAATTTACCCTGGTGAAGTCTCTTTGACCAGACAATTGCGCTACTTGTACAGTAAAGCCTTCTATCCTTTCTTCTAATGCTAATTCCTCATCCAACTGTATCTTTCGGAATTTATCCGTTTCTTCTTCCAAGAATTCATTGGTCGCTTCAATCTGCTGAGATATTTTAAGTGGCCACCCTATTGCTTCCCATTTATTTTCAAAGTCCTCCTGCGGCAGAGCATACCAGAAATAATCCAGAATATCGTATTCCTAAAATATCGAGCTAGCGTCAGTCTCAATCATCCCTTGACTGCTCAGCGTTTGTCAAAATATTACCATCAAGTATCTTTTCGTTGTCTCCTCCAACTGTCTCACCGTCAAGGGAATGGTTTCCATCCAATCCCTTATCTCGTAAATGTGTTCAATTGAAGTGGGCTTTTCTAAAAGCCTGAAATTCAGGGCCTTATATTCGTCCAAAACCTGTTCGGAAAGTACAATTAATGAACACTGAAGATCAAAGTGGAAAATCTAGAACTTGACTTTCAAACACAATTTTCTACAGTAAAAATGAAGAACAAAATAAAAAACTAGAGGAAAAAGACAGACAGAAGGGTGTACTGACTTCTTCGATACAAGCTTTCATTTTGCTCGTCAACTGGTCTAGCAACTTGGCTATAATATCTTCTCTTTTCGTAATTAAAACCTTCTTCAAAGGTTCAACATTTATATAAAATGGTCCAATAACAATATTAGCTGGTATTGTTACTTCCAAATTGTCCTTCATCTTGTAATGGTAGATTAAGTCTTCTTTATACTCGAAAGGAGCGTGTTGCTCTTCCTTGTACATTCTCATTATTAAAGTAAAGGGGAAATTAGAGCATACAATTGTTGTTAAAATAATCAAGTGAATCGTACTCAATATATTTGGGAACGTCCATGTTGTATAATTCCTTGTGGGCGTAATACTTGTCTGCATAAGCAAGGAGTGGGATTGTAGCTTTTTCGTAGCCGGTCAGCATTCTTTCGCGTAGTGTGCTTATTCCTTCTTCAAGTAACCCCAAAGAGGATAAGTAGAGGTCAGGAGGGTATTTAAGAAACTTGAGTAGAAAAGGATGAACTTGTGGAATGGTATGCGTTAGTTCGACCGCTGTGTCGTATAATTGAAGCAAAATTTGCTGAAACGTCAGTCAGAAATTTTATACAGTCGTTTCTTCATTTAAGAATTACTCGACAAGTTTGTTGCGTGCTTCAAATCTTTCTGACTAATTGTTATTACCGGAAACGTTTCCACGGGAGTGCTATAGTAAGGACCTTTGTCGTCCATTTTGAGAAGCTGATAAAACAATGCAGCTCCAGTTGGTTTAAACTGAGTATTAACTAAATCCTCTCCCCAATCAAAATCCGGCTCTACGTGTAAACAGCACTGACATGGTGTTTCTACCAAATTTACGAACATATTCGTCGAATTTCTTGCTAGCATTCGAATTGAATACTAAAGGAAATTTATCGTTAATTATTAATTATTATAGAATACTTCCTTAAACGAATAAAATTAAACATGAAAACGTATTACAATTCGTTGTTGTTTTACGAGAGTTTTGAAGGTAGCTGACCTGCATTCTGTGTTTCACGTTTTCCATGAATCTTATCAATTTTGCTATATCATAAGTACGTGGTATTTTCTCATTTACATCGAACCATCCTTTCCCCACATCACCCAAGCACATTCTGATGTTGTGCGTGATAGATTCTAGCCAAGCACCTTTCAAGAATTTCATGCACTAAGAAAAAGTATAGGTAAAGTAATCATGAGTTATGAATAAAATAATTCGAAGTGGTCTGTATTCTGTCGAAACTGCCAGACGCGGATCGCGTTTTCGATCTTTTTGGATCTTTTATTTGCCTTAATTTGCCTAGGTAAGTCAATCTTTAACTAGAAAATGAGACAGCCACGAAGAACAAATGTAAATGATATTTTACATTAACTCGTTTTACTAGGTAGTAATTTATTTGAAGTACGTCAGTAGCAGCAAATACCCACTAGATGGCGNAAAGTAATCATGAGTTATGAATAAAATAATTCGAAGTGGTCTGTATTCTGTCGAAACTGCCAGACGCGGATCGCGTTTTCGATCTTTTTGGATCTCATCAGCCCGTCGCAGACAGCTCCGACAGAACACAGACCAACTTTTACTTGCTGTCTTGACAGCGCGTTTTAGAAAATGCCACAAACGGCGCGGTAAACGCCATCTGTAGTACGGTGCTACATTTTAGGATTACGTATGCTCCAACAAGGTCATTTAAATCTATCGATATCTACTTGGTGAAACGAACCCCGGCGTGGCTGATGAGATCCAAAAAGATCGAAATCGCGATCCACGTCTGGCAGTTTCGACAGAATATAGACCACTTCGAATTATTTTATTCGATTATGGTAAAGTGCCTATCACGTCGAGGTTAGCTACGCCGGGGTTCGTTTTCAGCAAGTAGATATCCACACAATTGGACCTTGTTGGAGCATACGTAATCCTAAAATCTAGCATCGTACTACAGATGGCGTTTACCGCACCATTTGTGGTGTTTTCATGAGTTATGAAAGTGGGATAGTATCTCGATCTTTCTGTTTTACAACAAATAACTTTGAATAAATGAAAAAACTGACTTCATTGCTATTTATTACACACATTAGTTGTGGCCTGTATTTGAATAGCCTCGAAATCTTCAATTTTGATAGCTTTGCCACCGTGACTAGTAACGAACAACAACAATCTTTCCGCTTCTAAGCATTTTTCGACGACAAGAGACATTGCCCTATAAGTTTCGGGGATTACCCAAATGCTCATCCAGCGAAAATATTCGCGAGCTTCTTCAAAGTTATCCATTCCCGTAATAATCTTTTCTGTCAAATGTAAAGAAGAAAAATCTAACAGAACGTCATCTTTTAGTTACCTATCTAAACATTTGCAGCTATTGTTAGACATAATATTAAATTGGACCTATAATTTTGCAAACTCCAACTGTAGTAATGGTAGATGGCAATGGTAATACCTCTCGGTCCTTTAATAGGGTCTATTTCCGGCAATGTGAAGAAATTGTATACATCTGGATCTTTTTTCACGTTTTGTCTAAATTGAAGTTCGGCTAAAGCCCTTTTATGGCACAATCGTGCCTGTACTTCAAACTAGAAAGTGATTTCATCAAAAAGATTACCCTTAACTATCTACGGTTACACGTTTTTTAATAGTACCGTTTCCAGTATCTCTTTGTCGCTTATTTTCACTGGCCTTCCTCTTGTTGCAGATTTGTAAACTTGCTCCATAACAGTATCCTCGATATCATAAAGACCTGTTACTGCCATACAGTCCAAATAAAATTCATATCTAATAGAACATAAAATTAATGTTCGTTTTTAGTATTTATGCCAATACCGTATATAGAAAAGGTTAGAAATGAAGAGGTATTAGAAAGAATAGGAGAACAGAGGACTCTATGGAAGTCAACAATAAAATAGGCGAAAAAGGTTGATATGACATCTTGTCAAGCGTGAATGTCTAGTCAGAGACATATTAAAGACAGAAACAGGAGTTAAGAGGAGTAGAGGTGGACCTAGATTAGGTTACTGTTCGCAAATAGTTAAGGATGTGGGATGTTCTAGTTTTAAGGAAATGCGAAGATTAGCTCAGGATAGGAAAGAGTGAAGGTGCGTGTCCAGCCAGTCTTAGGACTGACGACCTTATGATGATGATGATAATGTCAATTTTAGCATCGTATACCTAATTTTATTTTCAACGTCGTTTCTTAGATCAATAGCGGCTCGTATACGTTGTGCAAACACCTGAGGGTCTTCTGCTCTGAACATTAGATAAATACGAGGCAACACAAAAGTTCTTTGTAGTCCATCGAGAGTCAGAACTTTCCAATGTTTTTTCTGGGGTACGTAATCCATTATGGCAACATTTACCCAACCATAAAATACTGTATATTCCTGAGACACTCCTTCGCCTATTACATCGTTATTTATTTCTGACGGAAGGGTAACAAAACCTAGCCCGGGTAATGGGTGCTGAATGCCGTCCAAAACCCCATGTTTTAGCCAACTGTCAGGGGATCTAAAGTACCAGCAACCACATTGTCATTAATTATATATGTACATTGTGCATTACTGTACAAATATCGTTATTAAACTTATTTCATTAATTGTAATGTTTTTCTTTCCAGGATTGGAAGTGAGTTCAGATTCATTCTATTTCAAGTTGGAGGAGATCTCAAGGTACTGCCTTTCTCTGATAAACTGTGAGTGATAATTTAGAACTTTAGTCTTTTCAACAAAATCCAGAATGTATAAAAAACATTTTTGAAAAAGTTTGTACAGAATGCGCTGACGTTTTAGCGAACTAATACCTATATGAAGATAAATTGCAAACCTGCAATCATACTCTTCATCGTCGAACAACTCAAGCGGTAGATAATTCACGGTATTGTACAAGCTGAAATTTTCGTCTACCAATAATGTTTTATAATCCCCTATGGGGAGCAAATCTTCATATTTGACATTCAGGTCAAAGAGATGCTCCTTTAAATCGCTGGCCTAAAATTTTTTTTTTAAATAATATTATTTCAAGAAATTCAGTTGCATTATTTACGATTTCATACAAATTATGAAGTACATTTTATTTTGACAATTGCTTTTATTGTTGTATGCGCAAAAGGTACCACTGGGGTCATTTTAAGTAAATGGCACCCTATATAATATTTTTTTTTGTTTCTAAACTAATTACACAACAACCTGATATTGTCTCCTCTTCCTTTCAATGGCAACATTTCTTGGTAAACATTTCGGAGGCACTTCATGTTGCATTTGTACTTTCGGTTTAAACGTTTCAAAAGGAAAAGCCTAAATAAAACGCAAACACATTAAGTTAGTTTATAATGAAAAACTCTTTTCGTCGAAGGCGTTTTCCTTAATTCACTCACTATATCTTTCTCTTCTTTGTAATGCATCCATCTCTCAGCAGGTGCCAAAAAGTTGGGGGGCTTGGCAACTGGTTGTAGCGCAATTATAGGCGATTGCTTTTCAGTTCTTATTTGCCATAATAATGTGGTGTGTTTGTACACTCCGGGAAGTCCTTCGTATCCGGATCTCTTTGTACTCAAATCGGTAATTAATTCTGAGTAGTAGCCCCTTTTGCATTCTTTCTTTAGTTTTTTCGGAGCTTCTCTATCGCTATGAATCACAAAACTGGATCGTCGCGTTTTACTTTTTTTGTCAGAGTCCATATTATTTTTTAAACAACTTACGGACGGCTGACATTTTAACGTTGTCTTATATAATTTTTTTTTGTTTAGACGGAAAAATCACTCATAGCCACCTAATTTATTCGAACATTGCGCACATTCTTCGTTAATTCATAAAATAAAACTGCAGATTGTGCTTAAATATTTCGAATTGCTTTATTTATTTAACAACACTTCAAAGATTAATACAATTATAACATAATTGTATGGTAACTGATAGGGATATTTCATTTAGTTTTTATTCTATGCACTTACAACTAAAAGTACATGAGAAATCAATTAAAAATAATGTTTGCAGAATAAAAACATAAGATAATGTAACGTAAAACTCGTGAAGTGAGGAACTTCCTTGTAAAAGAATTCTTGCACAAATTATCGTTGGACTACGTGCGAATGAAGGTGTAGTGTTGGCTGCCGATTGGAATTCTTCCAGGAGTTTTAGGCTCCACAGTTATTTATTATAGGTTTGTATATTTTAATGAAGTATGTAAATTAAAAGGTATGCCATGAATAAGTACCTATTCGATACAATTCCTCAGCTAGTTTTAAAAAATACTGTTCATTTTCTAACAAATTTCTGCATTATTCCATACTAAGGAATCGAAAGACGTATATGAGCAACGAATGAGAAACTACCCATGCAGACAGTACCACGATGAACTTTTTCGATGTTTTCAATTTTCTGCACATGCAGATATATTTACCTTAGGATGTTTACAAAAAATAATGAAGGGTATTTCGAAATTCAACCCCTAAGAGGATGAAAAGGAGTGGCAAAATTTGTATGGAACATTTTTATTTGTGATCGGATTGACTTCAAACTTGGCCTTAATTGTCTTTGATATAATTTATCAAACAGCTACTTTAGCAATCTAAAACACTTCAATCTCTAAAGTATTAAAAAGGGATACTTCAGTGGAACGAGGTGGTTATGACTAGTATAATGTAAATCAAACATCTCTCAAATGGAATTCAATATCAGCGAACATGGCGTCCCAGTTTAGTCTACTTTATGTTGGTAATCGGATTTTCGTGTCTTCTTGTGTGCTTTTGGTAGTATTGATGAATATCCGGAGAAAGTATCATACTTGCGCAGGATACTTGCGTGTTTTTTATGTCATCTATCAGCTGTTTTCGCCTTTTGTTTTAGAATTTAAACGCATAAAAATGAAACATGCTTAATTGTAGTTAGTAAAACAAGTTATTTGTAAATAATTCAACTTTAAACCTCTTATGAACAACGATACAGTATAATTTTATAAAATTAAGATACGAAAGCAAAATGTTCCTGCATTTTTGGCGAGACACAGGCTAAAAACTCTAGTAATTCTACTAATTATTCTTTTATTTATACTAAAATGTCTTTACGAAAATTCCGGCTATTATTTCAAATACAAAAGTAAAACGAACGGTAACAAAATCAGTCAATTAAAATATTCAAGTTTAACTGATGATTTTAATAAACCCATATTTGGTTTTGAGAACTTAAAAAATGAAAAAACGAAGGAGGAAGAGAATTATGATCACTGTGAAGTGGTACACGTTGGTTTTGTATGTAGTGGGTACAAGTCCAATGTCTTTTTGTATCATCTGCTAAAATCAATACTTTTTTTCCGCAATAATCCGTTACATTTACATATTTTGGTGAATAAAGTATCAGAAAAAGTTTTATCAACTCTTCTTCAAACATGGTCCTTAAAGCAAGGTAATGGTTCTGATAAATTTTCTCATTACCTATTAATTTTTTTTTTTTTATTAGTGAATGTTACTTTTTATGACTTGAACCAACATGTTAGAGATGTGCAATGGATTCCCAATAGTCATTATTCTGGTATACATGGTTTACTAAAATTAATTTTTCCTAAAATAATTTCTGTACAACTGACCGATAAAATTATTATACTAGACACAGATATAACAGTTCTTGCTGATATCTATGCACTTTGGAAACAGTTTCAATTCTTCAGTAAGTATCAGGTAGGATATGCATATAGAAAATGGCATAATTTATTCATTTATCGCTAAATTTACCATTTAGGTCATCGGATTAGTTGAAAATCAAAGTAGCTTTTATCTTGGTAAAGGTGGCTCACTTCCATGGCCAGCAAAAGGGAAAGGGTACTTTCACATAGTTTATATAAAGATGTTGGTAACATTTTTTACCTTTTAGATATAATTCTGGGGTTATTCTGTATCATTTGAGTAATATAAAAAGTATTGGTTGGAAAAAAATATGGAAAGATGTAACAAAGTCAACAGCTTCGTTTTATGGAGCCACAAAACTCGCCGATCAAGACGTTTTTAACGCGGTCATAAAGCAATATCCACAAATCGTTTATGAAGTGCCTTGCGAATGGAACACTCAACTGAGTGACCATACTGAAAGTTATTTATGTTATAGTAGCAAAAGAATCAAAGTAAGTTGTAATCTTTCAATTGTTTTACTTTTTGGCAATGTTCTTAAACATTCAGATTCTGCACTGGAACTCGCCGAAAAAAATGAACGTCGTAGGCAATAAAGATGGCGACTATTTTAGGAGTATCCACAAAATTTTCGTGGAACTCAATGGAGATTTGTTGCGTCTTCAACTCCATCATTGTCCTGACATTAATCAGAACGTTTCGGTATGAACTGTTGTACCTTTTTATCAATCGCACAATTTATCGTAACGTTTAGTTTAAAACTGCTCACAGTATTTTTATTATAATAAAGACACATATTGGCCAGGAAATTGTATTAAAAGTACATAAAAAGTTATAAATAAATGCAGAAACGTTTCATATATTGATAGTAGATGACGAATAACCTCAAATGTTCATTAAAAAAGTGGTCAAAATGCCGAGTTTTTCAACTTTGAGCCAATGCAATAGCTTTAAATGTTTAAACTAATACTTTTTTATACAAACCAATGACTATTCGTACCCTGTAGCAGATAAATAAAGAGATTTACGTTAGAATGCCATATCGCAGAATCAAAACTTCATCAAAAAATAAATTGATTTCCTTGTTTCCTTTAGGAAATAAGTCAAGGTGTTTGCTATGAGTTCGAAAAAGTACAAAATGAACAATGGAGAACATTTTTATTCTTCAAGGAATACCAATATGTACCATTAAAGAACGATGTTACTTTTGTTACGCAATTATCTTACGACAGGCTGCAATTAGTTGAGGAATTGTCCAAATATTGGGAGGGTTAGTTTTCTAAACCAACTTTAATGCTTTACTTAGAAATGAGACAAATACAATATTTCAGGTCCAATCAGTTTAACTCTTTACGTAACTGACGTGGAATTCGAAGAGTGTATAAAATTTATTTCATCTTCGGAAATTTTAAAGGGTAGACAGAACATCGCATATCATGCAGTGTTTAAAAAAGGGGTAATAAACGTATTTTTATCGCATTAGCTTGGTATTTGTGAACGGTAACGCTATTTTTTAAGGAATATTATCCAATTAATGAACTACGAAACGTCGGCTTGGAACATGTAAATACATTGTACGTTTTCTTGGCTGATATCGATTTCATTCCTGCTTCTGGGTTATATTATCGATTGGTAACGTATTTCAAAACCATTTTTAAAGACATGGACAAAAAGGTACCATTTTTGGGATGCACATGGTGCTTTTTAACATATACCTATTGTCATTCGTATTTTTTGTTCAGGCTCTCGTAGTCCCAGCGTTTGAAACTCAAAAATATCGCAGTAAAATACCAAAAACAAAAAGGGAGCTTATTGATATGTTGAATAACAAATCAATTTTCACTTTTCGTTTCGATGTTTGGCCAGTGGGTCAAGCTGCAACAAATTTTACTCATTGGAAAAACTCCGATACACCATACAAAGTAAGTAATGATGTCTTTAACTGAATGTATGGGATTTTTTAAAAACTACTTGTCAGATCACATGGCAGCCTGATTTTGAACCTTACATCGTGGTAAAAAAGGACGTGGTCAAATATGACCGGAGATTTTTAGGTTTTGGTTGGAACAAAGTGTCGCATATTATGGAATTAGAAGCGCAAAATTACGAGTTTCATGTTTTACCGGATGTTTTTATTGTTCACAAACCGCACCTGCCAAGCCATGATATTGGTAAATTTAGAAACTCGCCAGTCTATCGCATGTAATGTAAATAAAAAGAATGTAATTTCTGTTTTCTTATTTGGGAACGCTTTTTCAGGTGTTTACAAAACTTAAAAGATGACTTCATAAAGGATCTGCAGAAAAAGTACGGTCGCAATTTCGATTACACAAACGGCTTAAAGATAACGTAAAACAGACAGATACTATTTTTTATTAGGGTAGTTTTAACTTTCAGATCTCTATTTTTATTTACATGTTTTATGTGTAACAGTTACCTTTAAAAACCTCTTTTTACTAGTCGACTTATTAGCATTGCATATGTTTATCACGAAAAACAAGTAATTAACAAATAATATGCATGTATCTCCAATGTGTTTGTTTAGTAACAATAACTAGTTTATTTTTTATTTTACCATTTGTAATCTATTATTTCTTTTAATTTTACCAATTTCGTGTAGGTAAGACTATTTTTTTTTGATACATATAAATACGTATATTTATACAGCGCTGTGACATTAATTGCATTTAACAACTATTACTATTATTAGTATATCATGACCATGACAAGCATCAATATTCTATTGTACTCTATATTTTAGATTTCGTTTTGTTTTATCTTTTTTTATGTAATAAGTTATAATTCTACCATTTATATCTTTTATAATTTATTATACCTATTACATGAATTAAAATATTGAAAGTTATCATCACTGAACGTATATTTTATGCCCACATGAAGCGATTTTTACGAAAATAATAAGTGTAATATTAAATTTAAATACGTCACGGTGCCATTTTCTTCTCAAGGTTAAATAANAAATATAAAAATTTGTAGATGTGATATGAGTTGGTATAAGGTTGGCAAATATTAAGTCATAACAAGAATGTCTCCAAGTTTGGGGATTCGATGCAATTTATTGGGGGGTGGGAAACCCTCCCTCTCCTAGTAATAAATTATTATAAGCCTAAAAACGAGTTCGTTTCAAGTTGGGGGTGTACTCGTATTAAAGAGCTCTGTAATTACGACATGATTATACAAACTCCTATACAACCATAGATAAAATTATAACCCAAAAAATTTGACGTAAACATTTCTAATCCTATACAAACTTCTTTTCACTTTGTTATCATGAATACGAAGAATTAGGAAAATGTTAAGGTCTTTGCGATTGAAACGGTTGCTACAATTCAATGGAAAAACACTTTATAATGTTAGTAGGTTGTTAAGGTCTGAACCCACAAAGCTGACCACAGTCGAAAGCGAAAATGAGTCCGAAGCAAAACTTGAGAAAAAATCGATGAGTAAAGCTATGAAAGCTTATTTAGAAAGAGCTCAAGCACACGACGAGTTCATGAAACAACAAAATTATGAGTTTCAAATTGGGAAACGTCACTTGGCAAATATGATGGGTGAAAACCCGGAGACATTCACGCAAGACGATGTTGATAGAGCCATCGAATATCTTTTTCCCTCTGGGTTGTATGAAAAACGAGCCAGACCAATAATGAAACCTCCAGAAGAAGTTTTCCCAAAACGCAAAGCTGCAGAGTTTGATGAAACTGGAAGACCACATCACTTCCTATTTTACACAGGGAAGTCAAACTATTTTAATTTGCTCTATGATATTGTGGAACACATCAATAACTTAAACAAGTACGAAGACAGTATGCTGAATAAAAACAGCTATCCTGATCCTAACACTAAACTACAATTGGATGGGTATCAGTGGATGGACAAGGAAGCTTTAGAAAATGTACTTATAGAAAAAATAATTGATAAAGAATACACTAACTTTGTTAATGCAATTGAAAGACTCTACAACCATCCTTATAGTTATCGCATAAAAGAATTCATTTTGAAATATAGAAAACCTTTAATGAGCCAAAAGTCTACATCAGATTTGCCAAAATTACAATACGACAGTGATGGAAGAAGCTATGTGACAGTGTATGAGTGTTTAAGAAAAAGAGCACGAGGGCATGTAACCATTCGTGCTCCAGGAAGTGGTATAATCAGCATCAATGGAAAAGATCTTATGTACTTTGAAGATACACAACCCAGAGAACAAGTTATTTTCCCTTTAATTTTCACAAAAATGCTGAATAAGGTTGATGTGGAAGCTTATGTGGAAGGTGGAGGACCTTCTGGTCAAGCTGGCGCCATTCGTTGGGGAATTTCTTGGGGTTTGAGAAGTTTTGTAGACGACAAAATAATAGAAAGTATGCGAATTGCTGGTTTACTAACAAGGGACTACCGAACACGAGAACGAAAGAAACCGGGACAAGCAGGAGCTCGAAGAAAGTTTACTTGGAAGAAACGATAATTTCTTACTTTATAAGTTGTTTTTAATAAAGAATCCTAATCAACTATGTTGATTTTCCGTCAAGCCCGTGTGTAGGAAATTATAATTAAAATTAAATAATTTTTCATCTTCTAATACCCCCCTCATTAAAAGCCCTTATAAAATAATAATCTCTTTATTTACGTTAAAATCTCATATTGTAATTACAATAGGTACTTATATATTCTTTATATAACACACGATTATACTTACCTTTAAAATTAGCAATCAGGAGTCATCCCTGTTACTAGACACCTACCATAACACTATTTAGTATATAGACAATACCTAACCCTACGTACCTCTTTCCACGAAAGACCAGGATACACTGATCAAATTTGGTATTGACATGATCATATACTGCAGTCAAATGCTGTCTAATTGGAATACACATCTAAAAATGGGTACAACAATACACCATCATCATAGAGTACACAACAATGACAGATGTGAGAATTACATCACAGGGTTGCATTTATTTTTTAATTTTATTACCTACAGTTCACCCGAAGGAATCAAGGTTTTTGAGATACAAACTTAAAATATAAATAATTAATACAAATAGGGAAAGACTAATAACGTGTTTATTAAAAAAATAAATAGTATCAATAAATAAATAATGAACTAACAACACATTTTAAAGTAGTTGTAGAGATGAAGTAGGTATATGTAATGATGTACAAATTTAATTGTCATGAAGTTAAATAGATAACAAACAGTCTAAACTATTAAAAAGTCAATATTTTATGTACATTTTGTGCCTTTCAAAAGAGTTTAGTTACATATGAACTGATTTTTAACAAAATTTAACATCCTTGTGTTCGAAATTTACAGCATTAAAAAGTAGGTATGAACAAATATGCAAGTACAATAATCAACTTTTACACTTTTAAATACTACAAGACTTCTAAACTTTTAGTAAGACATTGCAAAGATCTTTGGCAAAGCACACGCACGCTCATTCTTTTATAGGTACCACACCAGCAAATCACAAAACTTAGTATTCATAATCATAATAGTTGTATAATTCAGTCTCACTAGCAATCATAAAATATGTCTCTTTCATTAAATTAAGGGTTAGAATTCTTAAAACTTCGAGGTTGCCTGAACGTTTTAGAATCAATTAATTCAGCATCAGGGTTGATAGGAGCTCCAGAGTTCTCCATTATCTCATTAACGTAAATGTCATTACTCAGATCAACTACAGGCTTCATTGGTACGACATCATAGTAGTAATAATTGTTTTTAGGAGATGGCATCAATAGTTCAGCTTTGTTGTTTTGTCTTACAAAAAGGGGCGGAATTGGATCTTTTTTTATAAACTCAGCATTAGGATCCATTGGTGCACCAGAATTTGCCATAATTTCGTTGACGTAAATATCATTACTCAAATCTCTCATTGGGGGTTGAAACTCGACATTTGACTTCTCGTCAAATGTTTCTATATTCTGTAGATCAAGAGGTTGCGCATTCTGGTTGCTCCACTCTTCTTCGGTCCATTCGTTGTCTTTACGTTTTTGTATCTTAATTGGTGCGTATGGATCCAGTTGTAAGACCTGAGATAGGAAAAACATTGTGTGCTTGGAATTGATAATGAATGCGCTACAGTGAAAATGTTACAAAATTAACTAAGCCCCAAGTTAGTGTTAGCCCAGGACCCTTCGTATTCATGGTCCTTCCATGAAGTGAAAAGCGCCAGGTGGCAAGTGGTTAAAAGCTTTCCTGCATATATAGGTACCTAACTTTAACGATCCAAATGTATTTAAAATTTAGTAATTTGTCTTGTTAAGGAATAGATACCGAACAGTAAATATACATATTAAAAATTCCTTTGACTTTATTATTGATAGTTTAGGAGACTATTTAAGATCAAAGTGGTGTTAGATTGACTAAAATTGGGTACTATCTCTTCAACATTATAGTCTAAATAACCGATTAGCACGGGATAGGAAAGAACGGAGGTACCTGTCCAAGCAGTCTCAGGACTGACGACCCTGTGATGGTGGTTATGATTATGAAACGTTTGCCTAGATAACTATAAGGCAAGATGAACATCGCCTATAACTGACGATGAATAACTACTGATAAAATATTCTCATACAACATTCAAATTTAAATCAACTACTTCAGTGAATTAGTGCACCTTCAGCTCTCTACCAGATTAATAAAGTTAATCATGTAGTTAGTAGTTAGTTTAGTGTAAAGATAAAGAAATCAAAGTAAAATTGTCATCCAAAACTGTACAAAAATTTAGATAAGAAGACTCTTAAAAAAAGTTTTATTAAACACGTAAATAGATATTTACATTTAGTAATAAATATGTTGATTAATTATTTCACACACATACATTAATTATATTTGGCTACTTTTTGGTATAGGTATTTTCGTGTTTATGAATAAAGAAGCTTCTTGAAATCAACTGACAAAGTTTATTTTAATTCTTTCCGAATCGCTTCTTAAATATGGAAATTGTATTTTCTTGAAAATAATGGCGTAGCAGCCGAAACGATTCGTAAAGCATTTAAATAAACTTTGTGAAGCATCATCAACGAGTTTCATTAATCATCAACAAGATTATTCATCATGCTTCACAGCGAATGTCACACACGATCAATTAACTTTGTAAATAAATATTGTGTATTTTTAATAAGTCCTTAGCTGGTTGTTTGAAGCTACCATTCACAAAATAGTCATGCATATGTTATTTAACTGATTGTTTTGTCAGTTAAGGGTTACTTTTTCGGGATTTTACGAACCTCTTCGTCGTTATTGTTGAGTATCGTGTTGTCTTCTTCCGATTCGTGATCAAATTCATTTTTCACTTCTTCAAGAACATCCTGGGATATGGTTCCATTATGGTTATCAGGATGAATGTCGACTACTCTGACGTGGAAAAACGACGTTTCGTTCCCAGCCTCGTTTCTGTAATCAGTGTCATTGATGGTCACTTTATGACCATTGACAAGCTGAAACAATAAAACTCACTTTAGTCTTTGTATGTAAGCATTTAACTAGGTCTCATTATTTTTGAAATTGGCCAGAGAATTAAATAAATAGCCTAGGTATCATCTTCCGTTGAAGTCTGAATCTCTAACTAAGGATGGTACCATGAGTGCCGAAACACGTTTTAAATTTTCTAACGTCTTTACGTTAACTTTGTGTTTTACGATTAGTGTTTTATTTAAAATTAGTTCAGTCTATAAAACTCCAGTAAACTGATGATCATGAACAAAGAAACAAACCAAAATGGCTGTGGGTTGTGAAAACCGTTAAATATTGAAACTCATCCATAACGATTTAAGAAAAAAACACATTGAACAATTCCAAAGATATGTTATTTGTTATGCTATGTAAAGATCGATTTTCCTACAGCTTATTCAGATGAAGACTGATCTTCATTTGTAGAAGCTATAGTGTCGCAAAATTGCTTAAAAGCTTTAAATCGAAACTACTATCTGACCTTTTATTGTAACTCCTTCCGGTTATTTTATCTTTTCTACGAAATAGTAATGAAATTACCTTGGTAACTGATGTTGAATTGGCCTTTCCAAAATCGATATTGATGTCAGAAGGAATTTGAAAATTCGTTAACGGTACTACTACATTTCCGTCATAGTTGGCAGGAAGACGACTAAACAATTTATTGATCCTGTTGCTCATAGCAGAAAGCACAGCTAAAAAAATACTTGGATCGTTATTATCGATCTTTAAATTGTTCACAGATTTTTATAAACATTATCAAATAGTACAAAAATATTCAGAATACAATGGACTGAAAAGATACCTTCGATATCATCAATAGAATCCATTACAAAATGAATTAGTCTAACGACAATTGCTAGTTGATATCTGAAGTTTATAAACTGACTTTGAATGGGAAAACAAAATTGTTTTATATCTACGTAAATACGTAATATTACCTACGCTATTTCCTTACAAGCAAATTGTTATAAGTTGCAGTCTCCTTATTTGCAAAGGCGCTTGCTATAATAGGAACAATGAAGTAATGGTTATGCAAATAAGTTAATTAAACGCTTCTTAATTCTGACATTGAAAATTACTTATTATTTATTCATAATTTCAAGAAAATTAATTGTAAATGTAGGCTAAACTGATTTTTATTTAGAACTGAAGTCATGTATAGAATCAGTGGCTCGATTCTTGTATTGATAGCAAGAGTTTTGCTACGTCTTGTTCTTCCTAACTTTTGTCTGATTTGTCTAATTCGTGGAAGAATGATTTTTATAAAGAGTATAATCTAAATATGTATACATTCCTTCGTTTACTCAGTTTTTGCACACATCACACGTTAATGTAATTTACTATCAAAATCAGGGATTAAAATTTTTATTCATTTTAAAGTTATTTACTTTAAATTGATGAGAACGAACAGATTGTAAAAGTCTTCGATAATGATACATAATAGAAATTAAGAACCGTCGTCACACATAGATAAAGACTTTTGGTTAATTTTACTTAGGTAATTAACTGTTAAATAAATTTGATTCATAAAATATCATAAAACTTTAGGTATACATAAAAGAATGTTACTACTCTTTACAACGATAGTTTTCTGAGTTTACCAACTTGCTTGTTTAATTACAATTTCCGTTCAATTTTTACGTGTTCTTGTGTCCACTGAGGCTTAAACTTAAGAAGCATTCAACTCTTTACAGTTCAAAGCTTTTGCTGCACTTGAAGATTTGCATGAATTAACGAAGAGGTCTTTTCAATAAAAAATGGCAATTCCCCTACTTAGTTAGTGAAAAGTAGTCTTCCAGAAAGCAAATACAAAAAAAACAGAACATCATAATTTATTAACTTGTTAATGATTCCGAATTTGCACTTTCAATTAAGTAGATAGTTGTTTTTTTTTAATTGAGCCGGATAGAAGTTACCAGCAAACAAACATAAATAAGATTGATTGTTGTTATTATTAATAATGTAAAAATGCGTTACTCACATCCTATGTTGGCAAAGAATTTGTCCATTTGAGACGTTTGAAAGTTGTCGAACGCCGGGGCTGCATCTAAAGCTATAATTGGTTCATTTCCTTTACCAGGCTTTGATTCTAACGAGATGTCTCCAGCGGTTATTCTATTGGTCGTTAATTCAGCTAAAAAAACAAAAAGCGTTTTCATTAGCCTATGTCATATCACTTCGTCATCGTGAATACTAATAACCAATAATGCCAAAATCAAAGTCATAAAGTTAATGGTTCTTTACTGCAGATGATGTCAAATGTGATAATGATAAGTACAAAAATTAATAGTATTATCACTTCATATTTTTTGTTTTTGATATAAACATATCACATTTACCATTTTGCTGAAGAGGTATACAATTAAATGGTAGATCAGGTTTGAGAGTGGTGTCTTAAGCAAGCTCTAAAACCGTTAACTATGTCTGATAGGTAAATGGGTATTTTCATCTTTTTTACTAACGGTACTTAATAATGCGGATGTTTGCTAATTTATGAGACACCTGAGTACCAGCACGGTGGATTATATTTTTAGAAAACTACTCAACTTGAAATGATAGCAAACAAATCATCAACAATTCTAAAGCGCCTTGTGCCTTTAACTGTTTCAAGCTAAAGCCTTTTAGTTCTCACCAAAAAGTAACAGCTCTTTTCGTTCATTGTTTTGAAACTTTTGATAATAATATTAGATAATATGTTTCATTGTGTTNAGTAAAATGCATACGTTTTAATTGTGTGTTTCAGTAAAACATTTAGTAGTTATTTGATATTTAATCAGAATAAAACAAAAATAACAGTACGAACCCTTAAACCTTTTGCTTATCTCATGGTGGCAGAAACTTATCACTTTCTTCCTGCCATAATAAGATGGTTTGTTAGTGGTGGCTATTACCTGGTCAATAACTTTCTTATCTGTTATTCGTATCGATTGCGGTTATATCTGAATTTTGTTTCATTGTCATTATCTTTTACCTAACTAATTTGCGATAAAAAAAAATACAAAAGAAAAACAATCATAATAATATATGTAATTAATAGAGACTGTCATTACTTTTATTTCCAATGACTCTACTATGTGTAACAGACGTTTACCATTCTTTTCATTTGTTGCATTTTATTTGATATTACCAAAAAGTAAACAATAAAAAAAAAGTTAATTTATCGTACAGTTGCCTGTTACTTTTTATCAGGTTGGGTCAATAAACTAACATACAGTTAAGTGTGTCAATAATCTGTTTTTATGAAGTTTTAAAAGTGTAGCTGTATAGATCAGTCTTGTTAAACGTGTGGTAAACTTGGTTGTCCGTTTGAATACGTAAATTTTTATAAACTTATTTAAAAAATGCGTTTAATTATTGTTGATACTGCTTCTGACGTTGCGGAATGGTCGGCGAAATATGTAATGAAAAGAATAAATGATTTTAATGCTGGTCCAAATAAATATTTCGTTTTGGGACTTCCGACAGGTACGCTTTTAATTTAAAATTATAACTTATTAGCAAAGGGCTAACTGAATAATTCGTTTATTGAGGTTAAAATATATTAACACTTTTACCCATTTTCTTCATTCTCATCCTACTTTCGTTAGACAGATGCGTTACAAATGGGATCCAGAAAGGATCCAGGCAATAATAATTGTTGCTTGTTAAATTTAATTTACATTTTTAAAGTTCTATCTCGACCGCCATTATTGTTGTCCCTTTTAATTACAAATGGCATTACTGTGATAAATACTCGGTAGGGCCATTATTACAAAAATGGTACTATTATTTTAGGAAGTACCCCTCTTGGTATGTATAGAAAATTAATCGAGTTTTACAAAGAAGGAAAAGTGTCTTTTAAATATGTTAAAACTTTTAATATGGACGAATACGTTAATTTGCCCAGAGATCATCCAGAGAGTTATCATTATTTTATGTGGAACAACTTTTTTAAACACATCGATATCGATCCGGCAAACGTAAATCTACTTGACGGTAATGCGCCAGATTTAGTGGCAGAGTGTAATAATTACGAGAAGAAAATATTAGAAGCTGGTGGTATCGAACTTTTTATTGGTGGTATGTAATAATTCAACAGCATTTTAAACTTAATAACCTTAGGTGAAGTAGTAATATACGTGTATAATAGATATTGTTTTAATTAGGAATTGGTCCAGACGGACACATAGCTTTTAACGAACCTGGTTCATCCCTCGTTTCTAGAACCCGAGTGAAAACGTTAGCTTATGATACATTGGAAGCAAATGCCCGATTTTTTGACAATGATATAAGCAAAGTGCCCACACAAGCATTAACCGTCGGCGTTGGTACCGTAATGGACGCCAGAGAGGTTCCGTTTTTTAACTCCACGTGTTTTGACCCTTTATAAAAACTGTGTGTTCTTTTTGTTAGGTAATGATATTAATAATAGGAAATCACAAAGCTTTTGCTTTATATAAAGCGATAGAGGAAGGTGTAAATCACATGTGGACTGTATCAGCTTTCCAACAACATCCTCACACTCTCATGGTTTGTGACGAAGATGCTACTCTAGAATTGAGGGTTAAAACGGTGAAATATTTTAAGGTAATTGAGTATAGAAAACGTTACTATTATTAGATAGCATTTCTGCCTTTGATTCATTTGTTTTATTCATCTGCTATACTAATCAAATCTGTCTTATTAACTCAACCTATGATAAATTTTTACCATTATTTCAATTAACATACTAAACAGAATGCACTAAACCCATAAATTATATACCCACAAATTGTGCTAATTTTTAATTTTTGTAAATGCATAAAAGAATTTCTGTCATTAAAATAAAGTGTAATCCCTATTTTCGAAAGAATGGAGGAAAGGTAAATGGGATGGAGAGTTAATTAAATTTATGAGGGTATAATTACTCTACTTTTGCAGTTGTAAATGTGGTCATATTTCAGGCCCTTAGCGCAGTACATCAAAAATTGGTTGAAGAATCAATTCCCTTGGATAGATCTCGAACTATTCATTGAGTTCTTTTATTTTTTTTTATTGATTTCTACAAGACAAAATATTCATAAAAGTAAGTTTAAGGGATGAGTTAATTCAATATCATTTAAAAATGTAATCAGATATATCTGCGGTTTATAATTCTCTAATCGTTGAAAAAAAAACTGTTTTTCATTCTCCTTATCTTATTTTTTGTTTGTTTTTATGTTAATAACCAAAATATTTCAACATAAAACTCAAATAATTCAGAATTTAATCAAATGCATTATTAATCCGCTTACGTTTACCAATCAGCCTTTACATAATTAAAACAATTAATTTTATTGTATTCTAACTTTGAACATATTTTTATTGCAGAGTTTGCTTACTGTTCATCATAAATTAATCGACTAGGTGCCTATACTAAGCATACGACATTATATATTATCATTAAGTAAATCAAGATCTGTTGAAATCTTTAAATATATATTTTTCTTTCAATTGCATTTTTATCTACCTGCTTATGTATCTAATAATTCTTATTAGTAATTAAAGTACATTATTTCTATATTGAATTGAATAATTTCTACGCCACTGATACCTAAAAACATAATAAACTCAAAAAAATCTATTACATTTTCTAACACATATTACAAAGTACAGGCCCACAATTTCATCTTCACTAGTGCATTAAAAATATAAAGATATTCAATCTTTAAAGGAATTATTGATACGTAAATTTGACTAAAAGCAATAGTTTTCATTTATTAACAATTCTTAAACTTTTGCTACATTTGGCAACGCGGATTAGTGTCAAGGACAGAATCACAGAGTGCAATACCAATTGTATTTTGGATTTCAATCCTATTTGGAGGTTAAATAATCTTTTTAAGCAATAATTTGGTAGTAAGTTTTTCAGCTGTTTGGCAGGTTCGTAGTTTTTTCATAAATCTCATTATATTTTTCAAAATTTCAATAATCGACGTATTAATAAATTGTAAATGATAATTTTGTCAATTGATTTATGTATAACAGTGAATATTTTTATTAATATGGCATGTAAAGCTCATGATTTTTGCCAATGATGCTTGTTCTCGTATGCTGATCATATTAACATGTCAGTATTTTATTTTTAGGAAAATGAAGACAATTGTGACAAACCAAACAGTAAAAATCCCAGAGGGATTAACAGTAACTGCCAAAGGTCGAGTAATTACAGTTAAAGGACCTAGGGGTGTATTAAAGAGATCATTTAAGCACTTGGCCCTTGATATTCGAATGCTCAATCCTAGACTACTGAAAGTGGAAAAGTGGTTTGGTACCAAAAAGGAGCTTGCTTCCGTTCGTACAGTATGCTCCCACATTGAGAATATGTTAAAAGGGGTTACTAAAGGGTATCAATATAAAATGAGAGCTGTATATGCTCACTTTCCAATCAACTGTACCACTAGTGAAAACAACACTGTTATAGAAATAAGAAATTTCTTAGGGGAAAAATACATTCGCCGAGTAAAGATGGCACCTGGGGTCACTGTAACTAATTCGCAAAAGCAAAAAGACGAATTAGTTATTGAAGGTTTGACTTATTTCAAAAAATATCCTTTTTACATTATTTAACAATTTTTTTTAAGGTAATTCCCTGGAAGATGTTTCAAGATCAGCTGCTTTAATTCAGCAATCCACAACTGTTAAGAACAAAGATATTCGAAAGTTTTTGGATGGCTTATATGTTTCTGAAAAGACCACTGTTGTTGAGGAGGAATAAATAAAGATATTTATCAATAAATTGTTTATTATTTATTTATTTATAAGGCAACAGCTGTGAAGCTTTTTATATATATTTATACATACATACAT